AAATATTTGAATACTTTTTCAAATACTTTTTTCCTACATTATTTTGTCTTTCAAACTATGACGTATGATTTTTTTTTTTTTTAATTTTGTTAAATATTGTGTTTATGAGCAGTATTAAAAGAAAATTTTTTTTTTAACCACAAATAATGCACTGTATTTGGAAAAAAATTATTGTTAAAAAAAATTTTTAAATTTAATTATTTTAAATTCTCTATCACACGTAGATTACGAATTGTGCCTGAAAAAAATTTTGTCAAGTTCAACTCGTTTATTTGACTGCTAATAAAAAAAAAAAAAAAAAAACCCTTAGTTGTCTATGCAACGATATTTATTTATAAGCTCGTATCCCACACTCGTGCACGTGCCACCTTATTTACGAAATAAACCAAACATGAGAGACATGAGTCAGCCAGCTCTGTCTTCTCCGCAAGATTTTCTCCGGCATATATGGAAAAAAGAAAAAAAATGATGAAAAAGAAAAGAAAAAGAAAAATCAATCAGAGTAGCCACGTGCAGGAATTTTTGTTGGAACCGCTTTAGTCCGAAAGTATTACATTTCACATTTCTCTTCTATACAAATGAAAAAAAAAAAAAAAAAAAAAAGATCCTTATCACTGTCCTCACGTGTCATATGATTGTCGGGCACATTGATGTTATATATTATTTTCTCTATGTGCCGTACTTAGTTTTTCAAACGGGGATGGTCGGCTACCCCGAATCGCTGACAGATCCATCCTATTGCGAGCAAATTTTGGTACTGACCTATCCCTTGATTGGCAATTATGGCGTCCCCAGCGACGAAGTGGACCAACACGGACTTCCCAGGTGATTTTTCTCAATATTATTTTTACGCGTTTTTTTTAGAAAATGTTTTACTTTGTTTTGTAATTTTTTTTCTTCCTTCTCTATTTCATACATGCTTTTGCAGTTTCTTTCAACTCGATTGCATCCACCAAACTATAAGTACCGATCTTTGAACACGTTCGTGTACTTATTAATGAATCAAAACACCGATAGTGGAATGCTGAGTCGCTTTAGTTGGCAAAACATAGTAAAAGATCTTAAAATGCATGTGAAAACACACACATACGAGATTAAAATAATATAACGACGAGTCGACGATTTCATTGTACGTTCATCATCCGAGTAACATATTCAATATGTGGCTTGGGTTTTGAGGGGAAAAAAAAAAAAAAAAAAAAAATCATTTTTCGATTAGCCGCAACTATTTCACCCGTCCGATTCCCTACCGCTCAAATAGTAGGTGCGCATCGGAAAAGTTACACTTCCTCCAACAAACTCTAGGTATCATCATAATCTCGTTTCCTCGGTGAATGAAGAAGGTCACATGTACCGTGTGATGCAGTTTTGTAAAAAGATAACGCGCTACAAGACGACACTATAAGTACCTAGCTGCACGTATATATATATACGCGCGATAACCTTTCGAATGTGGTGTGCATAGTTTTATTGGATGATGTACCATCAGACGCGTCACGATCAGCGCGCGTGATAAATCGGCTTGCGCTGCCATTATTGTTCGACTTACGTGCGCGTTTGTATATATATATGTACACGTGCATTTTATCGCGGTTACTTAAATCATTCAATTTTTGCTAAAAACAAATAATGCACTGTCGATGCCAAAAAAAGGTTTTTTTTCCCATCCAACAAGTAATATGCACTGTGAAAATAGAAATAAAACAAAAAAGTGCCAAAGTGTGTGAAAAATCATTCATATATTTTATGTACAAATAATTTGCAATGAACCTGAATATCTATATGATTTATTGAACTTGTTGGCGAGGAGTAAAAAAAACTTTTTCTCCAATATCAAAAACAATGCACTTTACTTTAATTTCGATTTAAAAACCCGCAAAGAAATTGCAGTGCCAACATACGCAATGTATATATACATATGCGTGCGAAACGTGTTTGAAACCATGTACATACTATGATTGTTGGAAGAGGAAAAAAAAAAAAAAAAAAAAACAATTCTTCAGATGGTTCGAGTCGGGAAAGATCTGGACCGCCGGTCTGGTCGTCAGCGAGCTCTGCGCCACGCCGAGCCACTGGCGACAGAGCAGGTCCCTGTCGGACTGGATGAGCGCCGAGGGCGTGCCCGGCATCCAGAAAATCGACACTAGGGCCCTGACCAAGGTCATCCGCGAGAAGGGCACCATCCTCGGCAGGATCGTTCACACTCTACCCCCGGACCTCGCCACCCTGCCACCCATCGTCGACCCCAACACTCGGAACCTCGTAGCCAAAGTATCACGGGTAAACGCCTCTCCTTTTTTTTTTACTTACCGATTTTTCGAGGAAAAAAAAAAAAATCCTCCCAAAATGTCCCAGACAATGAGAACGACCTACAACCCAAAGGGCTCGCCGCGCATCTGCGTGATCGACTGCGGCCTCAAGTACAACCAGTTGAGGTGTTTTCTGTCGCGAGGGGCTCGCGTCGACGTCGTGCCCTGGGACCACGAGGTGCAAAACGAGCCGTACGACGGTCTGTTCCTCAGCAACGGGCCCGGCGACCCGAGCACCTGCAAACCGATCCTCGAGAACCTCAAGCGCGTCCTCGCCGGGCCCAACGGCAAAAAGCCCATTTTCGGCATCTGCCTGGGCCACCAGCTACTGTCCCTCGCCGCCGGCTGCAAGAGCTACAAGATGAGGTGAGCCCACCACAACTCCCCGTGTATACATATGGTCGTACAAGTGTACATAATAATAAATACATATACTATACATGTGTGTAGGTACGGCAACCGAGGACACAACCAGCCGGCGATCCACGAGGGCACCGGGCGTTGTTACATGACCTCGCAGAACCACGGCTTCGCCATTGACGAGCGGAGCCTACCCCCCGGCTGGGAGGTGCTCTTCACCAACGCCAACGACGCGAGCAACGAGGGCATAGTTCACGCCACCCTGCCCCACTTCTCGGTGCAGTTCCACCCGGAGCACACGGCCGGGCCGCAGGATCTCGAGTGTCTCTTCGACGTGTTCATGGACGCGGTGAGGGCCACCACTGGCCAATCCGGCCCGATGACCGTCAAGCAGAGGCTCCAGAGTAAATTGACGTACGTACCGGTTGCCGCGCGCAAGCCGGGGGAGGAGCGCCCGAAGAAGGTGCTGATACTCGGCTCGGGGGGCCTTAGCATCGGCCAAGCCGGGGAGTTTGATTACTCGGGCTCGCAGGCCATCAAGGCCCTCAGGGAGGAGGGCATACAGACGGTCCTCGTCAACCCGAACATCGCGACCGTCCAGACTTCCAAGGGTATGGCCGACAAGGTCTACTTTTTGCCGATTCTGCCGGACTACGTCGAGCAGGTCGCTATGCTTCCTATGTCTTATTTTTTTCATTTCACGTGTCCCACAAGCGTGTACGTCTCGTATCCATGTATATTGTTTGTTTTGCGCGTGGCCCATTGCAGGTGATACAAGCCGAGAGACCGGACGGGGTGCTGTTGACGTTCGGCGGCCAGACGGCACTGAATTGCGGGGTGCAGCTTCAGGGCAAGGGGATCTTCGAAAAGTACGGGGTGAGGATACTGGGGACCCCGATCAAGACCATCATCGAGACGGAGGACCGCAAGTTGTTTGCCGACCGCGTCAACGAGATCGGGGAGAAGGTGGCGCCGAGCTGTGCCGTTTATTCGATCCAGGAGGCCCTGGAGGCCGCCGAGAAGCTCGGCTACCCGGTCATGGCTCGGGCCGCCTTTTCCCTCGGCGGTCTCGGCTCGGGTTTCGCCAACACCAACGAAGAGCTCAAGACCCTCGCCCAACAGGCACTCGCTCACTCGCACCAGCTCATCATCGACAAGTCGCTACAGGGCTGGAAGGAGGTACGTGCATCGTCATCGCCAAACACGACCGATAATACGTTATTTACGTAGGTATTCTCATCGGTGCACGTCAATCGTTCCAGGTCGAGTACGAAGTGGTGAGGGACGCCTACGACAACTGCATAACCGTGTGCAACATGGAGAACGTCGATCCCCTGGGTATACACACCGGGGAGTCTATAGTCGTCGCGCCGAGCCAAACCTTGTCGAACCGGGAGTACAACATGTTGCGGACAACGGCCATAAACGTGATCCACCATCTCGGCATCGTGGGCGAGTGTAACATACAGTACGCCCTGAATCCCTTCTCCGAGGAGTTTTACATAATCGAGGTGAACGCCAGATTGTCCAGGAGTTCGGCCCTCGCCAGCAAAGCCACCGGTTACCCCTTGGCCTACGTCGCGGCCAAACTGGCCCTCGGCATACCACTGCCGGACATAAAGAACCTGGTAACCGGCAAGACCACGGCTTGCTTCGAGCCGAGCTTGGATTACTGCGTCGTCAAGATACCGAGATGGGATCTCAGCAAGTTCCATAGGGTCAGCACGAAGGTACTCCGACTCGTATGTAATTGCATCCTTGTCTACGACATGAATGTAAATATGTGCGCGTGTGTGATTGCAGATTGGCAGCTCGATGAAGAGCGTGGGCGAAGTCATGGCGATAGGGCGAAAATTCGAGGAGGCGTTCCAAAAGGCCCTGCGCATGGTCGACGAGAACGTCATGGGTTTTTGCCCGTACCTCAAATCCGTGAACGAGGAAGAACTCGAGAAGCCGACCGACAAGCGCATGTTCGTCCTCGCAGCGGCGATAAAAGCCGGCTACACGACCGACCGTCTCTACCAATTGACGAAAATAGACCACTGGTTCCTCGAAAAGATGGGCAACATCATCCATTGCCAGAGCGAACTCGAGAGCATCGGCGGCCAATCGGCGACAGGTCTCTCCTGCGAGATGCTCCTCGAAGCCAAGCAGCTCGGCTTCTCGGACAAACAGATCGGCATGGCGGTCAAGAGCACCGAGCTTGCCATCCGGAAGCACAGGATAAAGTGCGGCGTGTTGCCATTCGTCAAGCAGATCGATACAGTGGCCGCCGAGTGGCCAGCCAGCACCAATTACCTCTACCTCACGTACAACGGCACCAGCAGCGATCTCGATTTTCCCAAGGGATACGTCATGGTGATCGGTAAGTCATCTCGTTGAGAGACGACGTGCTGATGCAAAAAAAAAAAAAAAATAAAAATAAAAAAAAAACAAAAAACAATTCAACAGGTTCCGGAGTGTACCGCATCGGGAGCTCGGTCGAGTTCGACTGGTGCGCGGTGAGCTGCCTGCGGGAGTTGCGCAACCTCGGCAAGAAAACAATCATGGTCAATTACAATCCCGAGACCGTGAGCACGGATTACGACATGAGCGACCGATTGTACTTTGAGGAGATATCGTTCGAGGTGGTGATGGACATATACGATCAGGAGGCCCCCGAGGGCATAATCCTCTCGATGGGCGGCCAATTGCCGAACAACATAGCGATGGACCTGCACCGCCAGCAGGCCCGCATCCTCGGCACGTCCCCCGAGCAGATAGACGGGGCGGAGAATCGCTTCAAGTTTTCCCGCATGCTCGATCGCATCGGGGTCTCGCAGCCGAGGTGGCGCGAGCTTACCGATCTCGAGGCCGCGGTCGAGTTCTCCCAGGAGGTTGGCTATCCCTGCCTCGTGCGGCCCTCGTACGTGCTCAGTGGCGCGGCCATGAACGTGGCCCACTCGGACAACGATCTCAAGACTTACCTGAAGAACGCGGCCAGCGTGAGTAAGAAGCACCCGGTCGTCATATCCAAGTTCATCCTCGAGGCCAAGGAGATAGACGTTGACGCGGTCGCCTACAACGGGACCATTCTTTGCATGGCCGTGTCCGAGCACGTGGAAAACGCCGGGGTGCACTCGGGCGATGCAACCCTGGTCACGCCGCCGCAGGACATTAACGCACAGACTCTGGAGAAGATCAAGATCATCACGAGACAGGTGGCCCACAATCTCGAGGTCACCGGGCCCTTCAACATGCAACTCATTGCCAAGGTACGCGCGGTTTCTCTCCACCACTCGTTCCTATGATTGACTTTTTTTTTTTTTTTTTTTTTTTTTTTTTTTTTTATGATTTCACTGTAAAATGTGCAGGACAACGAGCTCAAGGTCATCGAGTGCAACGTCCGCGTGTCCAGATCATTTCCGTTCGTCTCGAAAACCTTGGATCACGATTTCGTGGCTGTGGCTACGCGACTGATCGTAGGCGAACCGGTAGAGCCGGTCGACGTTCTCGCCGGCTGTGGAAAAGTTGGCGTCAAAGTACCTCAGTTCTCCTTCTCGAGATTAACCGGTAACTATAGTCCATGATTTTCGTTTCCACAGCCCCCGTTGTATTGATTTGTATATACCTACTACTTTTGGCAATGTATTTGTTGAAAGGTGCCGATGTGACTTTGGGAGTTGAAATGGCATCAACGGGAGAAGTGGCCTGTTTCGGGGACAACAGATATGAGGCTTACTTGAAGGGCATGATGAGCACGGGGTTCCACATTCCTCAAAAAGGAATACTCCTGTCGATCGGAACGTTTAATGTAAATCTCGATTTGCCTTTTATTTTCCTCCCTCCCGTGTGATTTGATTCGCACGAGAGTAACCACGTACTTTTGTTGCCGCAGCACAAATCGGAGCTCCTGCCGTCGATCGCCAGCCTTCAAAAAATGGGATTCAAGCTCTACGCCAGTATGGGAACAGCCGATTTCTACACGGCCCACAAAATCGACGTGAGTGTACACGCAATCACTTAATTTATTATCACATAAAAATATACGTATGATTAGACAACAAATCATTAATACAAAAAGTACACACAGAGTAGACAAAAGTAACGAAAAAAAGCATCTTATCAAAATATATACGCTTGGCTGATCGTCAGGGACGAAATCTTGAAATATTCATACGCAAAATAAAAATCTATACATACACGTGCAGTGCAGTTGTTATTGCGCACGTATGTAATTCTCGTTTCATTTGTAACAACCAGATAACAGAAGACAAAAGAAGAAGAAAAAAAAAAAAAAACACATGCTTCACGTTTGGTTGTATATATATATACATAATTTGAAGAAACTTGTTCACGTAGTGTCCAGATTGTATACGTATAATCTACCGCGTTATTTCCGAGTTGGCAACACCCTTGGGCTCCCCTTCGTCTCCCTCGGCACCGCTCGTGCCTCGTTTGTCCACGTCAGCCGGGAACTCGTCTTCTTCTTCTTCACAGGCAACAACCTGTCTTTTGGTGAAAATCGGCCGATCGGCAAGGCTTCTCAGCGACCTCAGTAGCGCTTTCGGCTCACCGGGCACTCCCGGACTCTGCAGGAAAATCGGCCAGTCCGAGTTACGGCCCAACAACGTCTCCGGCGCCTCCGAGCTACCTCTCGCAGCCCCGTCCGTGTGATTATCGGCCGATTCCCCGTTACACCCCTCGTAACTGACTTGTCTACTCGTCCTCGAATCGGCATTGTTTCGCTTCGGGATCTCCGGCCTCGGAGGCACGTCTGGCGGCCTCGTACGGTCGTACAGCTCGCGCGCCTGCTGCAACAAGCTCCGCGCCGTGTCCTGGTAATCCTGATCCTCGGCCAACAAACTGCCCAACAGCTTCACCTGGTCCAAGTAGGCGCGCTTAGATCTCGTGGCTCCCCTCTCGTGGCAGCAGCGCGCCACCCTGAGAAAGTGCTCCGCGAAAAACTCGAGGATCATCGACAGCCTGATGGGCGTCAGGGGCTCGCACTTTTCCTGTTAACACAATCGACGAAAAACGGATACCTCATCGATGACGTATGTAAAAAAACGAAGGAGAAGAAGAAAGAAAAACCTGAATGTCGATGACGGAGTCGTGCTCGCGTTTTGGGAGGACGGCGATCCTGTCGGTGCGCCTGCGGGACGAGGCTTGCATGATGTACTGTTGGCTGTTTTGCTTGGCCTCGGTCCAAAAGTCCTTGCCAACGGGGTCGCGCCTCGCGTAGTAGTACCCAAGAGCCGACGAGGAGCCGTGCGCTTCCTCGTGGCTGACCTGCAGATTCGAGTTCCGAAGGACGAGCTCGTGGCGCGTCAGCAGGAGCTTGAGCAGCCTCGCGTGGTCGAGGCGCGGATAACAGCACAGGCAGCCACCACCCCGGCACACCTCCGCGTCAACTCTCTCGTACTGTATGCCCTCGAGGGCGTGGAGGACGAATAGCACCGGGTTGTCGATGATGCGCTTCAATTGTTTTTGGGCGTGCAAGAGATCGTCCGCGTTGACGCTGGCGAACAAGTTGCGCTCGTGCATGAAGTAATCGGACATGGCCCGCTGCTGGATGCAACCGTGCAGGGACTCGAGCAAATTCAGGGTCCACTGGCCTGTCGGGGCACCCCAGCCAACCCAATAACCCACACTTGGCACATATTATCATCAACACACCAAAAGACCGGCTATTTATGTACGTGATAGTGGTTATATATTATATACGGACCCATGTGCAGGACCGACCAGTCGGGGTTCTTCTCGGCCATGAGGAACACCATGTTGCGCACGTGTCCGGTGTCGAGGCCGAAGCTCGGGCCGAGGGCCCTGAGGAAGGTCTTGTGGAGGACGAGGCAGACCGCGTAGACCGTGGCTTGGCTGGCCGAGAGGCACGTCTCGAGGTAACGCTCGGCGGCGGGATAATTGAGGCTCCAGTCGAGTTTCCAGAGGGGATGGTGGTGGTTGGGCTCGTCGGTGGCGGGGCCGTGGAGCCGCGACGTCTCCGGGACGAGGAAGCAGCCGCACTTTTCGGCTCGCCGGAGCTGCTCGTCGCTCGGCCACTCGGCACGCTCCCGGTCCAACCAACCCCGCGCCCACCTCGGCCAAGGACTCGCGAAGCACGGCACCACCTCGTACGCCTCGATCTTCACGTACGCGCTCTGACTACAAGTTTTCATACTCGTTCGTGGGTGCGACGATTCCTTTTACATGTATACTTACTCCTTGGGCGAGAGGTGCTCGATCGTCTCGAGTCGGATGGTGGCGTCGCATCGCTTGGCGTTCCTCACGCTCGGCTCGTCGAAGCCGAGGAGCCGGCCCGCCTGGGCCTTGAATCCCTCGTAAAAGTACTTGGCGAGCTTGTACCCGTTCACGTACACAATGTCCTTGTTCTTGGCTATCTTCGCGTCTCGTATGCGCCTCTGTTGGCGCGTCAGGGCCTTGGGCTCGCGCTTCGGGTTGTAGATCCGGCCGTCGTACGTGAAGATCACCGTTTTCAGACACTCCGCGGGTATGTCGCAGCCCAAGAGCCACGAGTTTGTCTTCCTGCCACCGCGAGACGTAACGCGGGGGTAAGCACTGCTCGGGGTGCTGGAGTCGCTGTCGCTGTCCGGGCCGTAGGCGGTCGTCGTGTACCCGGAGCTACTCGAGCTACCCGAGTTTGCCGGTCTCTGCGATGATCTGTTGTGCATGTTTTTTTTTTTTTTTTTTTTTTTTTTTTCGATGAAAGGTTTCGCGAAACAAACAAATTGGGCATCGAGCGAAAGATAACGGGTAACAATGTTTGCTCGAATCTTTCCGATGGATCAATCGAGACAACAACGATAACGATTATAATTGTTGGCCATGGCTACCGATCGAGCGAGTTCCCTTATCTGCCTCCGTGTCCACTTGATTGGGGGGAAAAAACAAAACAAAAAAAAAACATACCTCGGCGTACTTTGACCGTTCGAGGTGACCCTCGCGTTGTCCTCCTCGTAGTAATTGTCCTCGTCAAAGAGATCGGGCATGGACGTGGACGTCGACCGCGCCAGCGGGACCCTCCGTTTGCTTATGGGACCGTACACCGAGCCATCGTCGCTGTACGCTTCACTTTCGTTTTCAACGATCGACGAGACGTCATTGACGTCCAGGCCGTTTTCTTTCGGAGCCGTTGTCTTACGCTGCTCCAGTCGTGCGTAGCCTGGGGGAAAAAAAAAAAAATCGGCAATGCATAAGTGACGACTCATCGACACAATGAGAAGAAGACTTCGATAAATCATCATTGTACGATGCGTGCTTGGCTAGTAACGAGTTCTCGTTCCCGCAAAAAATGCAAATTCATCAAAATTCCATCTAAACTTTGACGATCGCTATCGATCGACGTCTTATTGATACCGATCTCCCTAGCCGAGCAGAAATGATTAAACGATTTTTTTCCTCGGCTCGAGCGTTACGCGTCAAAAGTCTTGTACTTTTTTACACGACAACATACATTTGATGTCCAACTGTGTAGGATGTGTACACAAATGAAACGAGAAACCGATCAAACGATCGAAAAATGGTAAGAGCAGGATCGACGAACCTTTGTGATTGGCTTCCCTGAGGACAAAGTTGTACTCGATGGCGAGCTCGGTGGGATTGTAGTAGTGCTGCGTCTCGTCGACCTCCGCGACGAGGACATTCTCGTAAATCATGTATAGCCTGATGGGCCGGATCGGTTCGACCGTGACATCGTCGTTGTCCGATTTGCCAGGTCGGGCCGTAAACCTCACTCGATCGGCAAAGTGTTCGCGCAGCACGTCCGGCATCAGGACCGATTTCATCGGCAGGAGCTTTTGGTTGATCTTTTGCTCCTTTGCCACCAACTTGCGTCGGGCCTCCTCCATTTCCCTGTTGAAAATTCCATCACCCAATGATCATCACACATTTTTCCGCGTGTACAGAGTACATATAATTCATACGCGACACTTGATAATTATCTAACGACGAGTATGCGGATGAGAAAAAAAAAGTGATGTACATCAAACCGTGTACCCTCGACACACGCGCGAGTGCCTTTAATCAATATTGCACTATCAATTTGATGACGCGCTAATAAACGTTATTTTTAAGGAAGAGTACGTTCCCGGCTCGATATACACATACATATACACACAATCGTAAAGTCGCTTTTTTTTTACGTTTACGAGTGTATATAGTGGTCAGTTTTTTATTTGATTTTTTTTTTTTACAACATCACGAAGAATTAAGGCATATTTTTATAAATTATACGGTTGTGGGTGTAAAGTAAGCAGATGGATATGACGTGCATAATCGAGGAGCTCTCCTTTACCTCATCCTCCAAGTATCCGTGGGAGTTCAATCACCCGTACTTACAAAGTTTATGTGCAATTTTATTCCGATGCGTTTTTTATCTTTACCATAAAAATGTGCGCGATTCGCGTCATTGTTCGTGAAATTAAATAAGCTAATCGATACGTCGCGTTGCACGCACTTCGCAATCGACGAGTGTTTCCAACGTTTATGTACAGATGAACGATCTCTTTAGCAATGCGAAGAAAAAAAAAAAAAAAAAAAAAAAAAGAAAAGAAAGAGCGTAGCGCCAAACTGACCGTTCGTAGTTCGAGAAGAGCTGGACGGAGAGGACGAGGTTGTCGAGTATGAAAGCGCCGGGCCTCTCCTTGATGAGCCTCTTCATGGCCCAGAGCTCCTCGCGCTCGGGATCCCCATCCTCCCGAGGGCCATTCTCGTTACCCTCCGAACTGGCCCTCCTCGAGGCCCTGCGCTGTCTCGTGATGCTCGTGTTGCCCATCCTGTCGGCCAGTCGCGACACCAAGTTGAAAGGCATTTGCCGGTCCAGCAGCGATTGAGCACCGGCACCGCGAATAACCCGGACGACTATCGGAGCTGTACTAGCTTAGGGTGCGGGCGACCGGCATTGTTGGCTCGAGGCCAAGGTTCCCAAGAGTGTACGGAGTCGGCGACGAGCGCGGCGCTGATAATATGCGTTACCGAGGGAAGGCGGTATCGTGAGCATCGGTGTATCGGTGAGCCCGAGAGAGCCGGCGGGTAGGGGGCGCAAGGCCGGTCAGGGTCTCGCAATTGGTCAGTGCTTTTTATCGCCACTCGAGAGATTGCGATCGCGGGAGGAAAAAAAGAACAATTGTACATACATGATTCCAAGTGCCGGTGACTCGTAGAGCCGAGGTGTGATGTGTTTGTCCCTTGCACCCGGGAGTCTTGGGGCTTGTTTGGGTTTTCTTTTGATTTTCCGGATGTTTTCGGGACTCCAAGCAAATCGCGAAGAAAACGATATCATGCACAGTAAACCAAACATATTATACTTTTCTTGGATAAAATTGTCGCAAACTTTCGAAGAACGTGCATTTTTTACGATTTTCCAGCGCTACGCGCTTGAAGCTTCGATGGCTCAGTTAGTACCATGCCATTATGTTATTATATATTTTATAGCCGTACAACGCAAAGGACACGTGTGAAAATAAAAATAAAAAAAAAGTTATTGATTACTCTTTAGATATTATTTAGGAAGTTTATCACGAAAAAAACAAACAATAATAAAGAAACGAGCTTTGTTCGATGGTAGATTGGGATTCGTATAAACAAATTTTTCAAACCTTTTTTTTTTTATTTTATAAATTTTATAGATGCTCACGAGTCAAAGAATGGAAAAAAAACAACAGTTTTTTCAAAACAATAGCGTTAGAAAGAAGCAAAATTTTGAACACATATAGTTGTATATCCTGGTATCGCACATATATGCACACCCGCACACACAGACGAGAGATCTCACAAAAAAAATCCAATCTATCGACTATCTTATCGGATAGTGGCGAGTGAAAAATTAAAAAAACGATGAAAAAAAATCTTGCTAATCCCACTACTCGCAAAGATGACGACGACGTCGATGATTATGATTATAAAAAAAAAAAAAGAGAAAAAAAGGAAGAAAAAGAAAAGAGGAGAAACTGTCCATACAAAGGCTATACGTGTTGAAACGGCCAAGTTTGTCCTTCTTCTTTTGCAAGAGAGTTTGTTTGTATCGTTTTATTCATTTTTTTTTTTTTTTTTTTTTTTTTTCTATTTGCACTCTATAATATTAAATGTCTTAATTTTATCCATTTTGAAAATGTATCTAAAAACAAAAATTTTGGTTGTCTATAAAAAATGCATATTCAATAATTGGTAGTGCTTGCACTTGATCTGTTTCGCTCCTATAGTACGACAACCGATTCCTACCGATTTTTTTAACCAAAATGAAAACCTGATAACTCAGTAATGGCAAAAAATGTACAGGTAGAACCGGTGCAGTGGACGTTCGAGGACGTCGTGGACAACGAGGACTCGAGTCCGAGCGAGTTACGCAACCTTGCCGATTTCTTGTCGAAGAAGCACTTTGACCTGGTGATCAACTTGCCGATGCGCAACGGGGGTGCACGCCGGGTCTCCAACTTCATGACCCATGGCTATCGCACCCGCAGACTTGCCGTCGATTACTCGGTGCCGCTCATCACGGACGTCAAGTGCGCCAAGCTCCTTGTCGAGGTATGATTCAACATTTTTTATGCACACAGGTGTTGAATTACGTGCCAAAAATTAAAACAATAAAAATACGTGTCGATCAACGTACGGTGTAATCAAGCTTTCGATCTAAAGTATATAGATACACGCATTCCTTTTTTTGGTAAGAATTGCCGATAATTTCGTCATCCATCAGCATACGTATAGGTATATATTTATACAATCATCGAGTGTTTTTATACTCCCTGCGCGTATTATTTTTCTATGACTAACAGCCCACCAATGCGGTTGAGTCATTTTTTAAATTCGTCGATTGATTGATCGTTACCAGAGGTAAAAAAATGACTTTGCCAGTGCAATGTAAAAAGCAATCAATAATAATAGCCAGAAATTGAAAAATCTTGTAAGTCTTATAAGATGAATAATTGATATGAATTAAATGGCTGCACCTACCTACATTAGAGATAAACACACCTATCTTTTTTTCTTCGATCGATCAAAAGCTGTCATTGATCTCGCGCTATTTTTATTTTTTATTTACTTTTTTGTTTTTTGTTTTTGTTCAAGTTCACGTGAGACTACCAATAAAAATCCCAATGAAAATGTAGTAATTGTCCTCTCTACAAATCTAGTTTCCATCTTTCGGATTATTTAATGAATTGAGTTTAATACCAAAAAAAAAAAAAAAAACAAAAAAAACAATAGCTTTATCGAAAACGTGCAAAGTTCCCTTTGTTTAATTAAATTTCAACACGGCATCCGATAACACCAGCGTTTTTTGTACAAAAAGTTACAATTTTTCCACGTGCCAGTAACGTACGAGTAAACTTTCAAGTTACGCGTCGAGGGGGAAAAAAAAAAAAAAAAAAAAAAAAAGGAAGAAAATAATTAGAGTTTGTTACTCTTATCGCCACAAGGCCTTGCTGATGCTCGAAGGCAAAGCACCCCGGATGAAGACCCACACGGACTGCATGACGTCGCGCCGGCTGCTCCGGCTGCCCGGTTTCATCGACGTGCACGTGCACGCCCGCGACCCCGGCGCTACCCACAAGGAGGACTTTGACTCGTGCACCGCGGCTGCCCTCGCCGGTGGGGTCACCCTCATCCTCGCCATGCCCAACACCAACCCCTCCGTCGTCGACGAGGACACCTTCGCCCTCGCCAAAGAGGTACGCATCAGGTTTTTTTCGCACTATACAATATATAACACATATTATATAGTCTCCACCGGTTTACGGTGCATAAACCTACATAAACCATCGATTGTTCGCCAACCCCCCAGCGGGCCAGGGCGAGCGCGCGTTGCGATTACGCCCTATTCGTCGGCGCCTCCTCCGACAACCACTCGACCATCGTGGAGCTCGCGCCCCAGGCGGCAGCCCTCAAAATGTACCTGAACGAGACCTTCACCACCCTACGCCTCAAGGACCTGACCGTTTGGATCAAGGTAAAACCCATAGCGGCTCTCCTCTCCAAAGCAAACTTGGTCTTATTTATTTTTATCTCCGTCCTCCTCCTCTTTTTTTTTTTTTTTTTTTTTTTTTTTTCTTCAGCACTTTGAGAGCTGGCCGCACAAGTATCCGATCTGCGTGCACGCCGAGGGCCAGACAACGGCGGCCGTGCTGCTCCTGGCGAGTCTGCACAAGCGGACGATCCACGTGTGCCACGTGGCCAGGAAGGAGGAGATCGAAATCATCCGAGCGGCCAAGGAATCGGTAAGGGATCTCCCCCCTTTTCAGGATCCATCCCACGGGTGTATACACAAGTTGGCTTACTACTGTTTTTTTTTTTTTTTTTTTGTTTTTTTTTTGTTTTTTTCACCCACGTGAAGGGGCTCGCGGTGACGTGCGAAGTTTGTCCGCACCATCTGTTCCTGTCCCAGGACGATCTAGACCGGATAGGTCGGAGCCGCGGCAAAGTGTGCCCGATGCTCGGCACCAAGGAGGACGTGCAAGCCCTCTGGGACAACATAGCCTTCATTGATATTTTCGCGACCGACCACGGTAATGTCACACGCTTATTGGTAAACTTTGAAATTCATTGCAATCCTTGCGTGGACGATTTTACTCGATAAGACAGCGCACAGGGTATACGCATTTTTTCCAAAACACTCTCTCGTCGCTGTTGTTATCGGTCACGCAGGGGAATCCCCGATTTATTTTTTCTTCTTTTGTTGTACTTACTATGAAAAAAAAAAAAAAAAATACCAATATCGCACACCGATAAGCACACTGGAACAAATTGCCAGCAACTGTACCGTCCTTATTGTTGTCGTTATCGATTACAGCACCGCACACTGTGGAGGAAAAGTCCCGCGAGTCACCGCCGCCAGGCTACCCTGGCCTCGAGACGATCCTTCCGCTGCTCTTGAACGCCGTGAACGAGGGCAAACTCGACATTGAGGTCAGTGTCTCTTGTTATATACGCAATATAATACATACGCATGCTACATCCCGAGTTGGCATGAACGCGTGTAGTGTATATACATACATAAGTTGCACAATAAATCGTTAAGCACGACAACCGATAAGATATAACGACTATAGAGCTACGAAGGTCAGGTGCATCGGGTGTGTATCTACAATGACACTGGCGATCGGGCACCTGTGCTCTTTCTACCTTGATCCTCTTTCCTTTTTTTTTTTCCTGCACATCACGAGTATAGGTACATATGATCTTGTTTAAATTTCACGCATTACTTTGTCCATTGATGATATTATTTCCACAAGTGTGTGTTTTGTAAGATATCACTGGTGTAGTAACAATAGCCAATAATTCAACCATATAGGATGTGATCGACAAGTTCTACCGGAACCCAAAGCGCATCTTCAATCTGCCCGATCAGCCCAACACGTACGTCGAAGTAGACCTCGACGAGGAATGGACCATCCCGGAGGCCATGGCGTTCACAAAGTCCAAGTGGACGCCGTTCGCCGGCATGAAGATTAGGGGTTCCGTTCATCGAGTCGTCCTTCGGGGCGAAGTGGCCTACGTCGAGGGCCAGGTACTGGTAAAGCCTGGCTTCGGGCAGGACGTGCGCGAGCAACAGAAAAAAATTAAACTCATGGCCCCGACCGTGTACCAAACGGCCCCGGAGATCACCAGCCGGCCCAACTCGGCTATCGAGAACATACTGTCGCCAAAGAACAGGCCCTACTTCAACGACAAGCACGACGACGACGAGTTGCTCATGGGTAAGGACTATAGTTTCATTGGTTATGTATATTCATTGACCATAGTATTATGTGTTAATTCATGTGACGTATATGACAGACCCTCATGGACACCTGCTCCATCCTTCCATTAAATCGACGAGCGTTCATTTCGGTGGGATGGAGAACGGGTTCGTGTTGCGTCCCACCTCGCCGCTGCCCTTCAGCACTGCGATCCGCTACAAGAGCGACAGCAATCCTAACCTGTTTGTGCCGCCGGCCGGTACCCCCTCCGTGCTCAACCACGGGCTTGCCGGCCATAACATTCTTTCGGTCGACATGTTCAAGAAAGAGCAGCTCAAGGACATTTTTGACGTGGCCCACGACTTGAGGAAGAGCATACTCGCCGACAGGCCCCTCGATCACATTCTAAGGGTATGAGCGATATTCTTTTTTTTTTTCCAAATTTCAAATTATATATGTGCATATAACTTGATGCAGGGAAAAGTGATGGCTTCGATGTTCTACGAGGTGAGTACGAGGACGTCGTGTAGTTTCGATGCAGCGATGCAGAGACTGGGTGGCCGAGTCATCCACATGGACGAGATCAAGTCGTCGGTCAAGAAGGGTGAAACCCTCGAAGGTAATTAATACATGATTATTTGTAATTACCCACGATCGTGTACATGTATTTTTGTTCATTGTAATACACATATATAATGTACCGTTTGCTTTGCAGATTCCGTGGCAATAATGGCTGGTTACGCCGACGTAGTTGTCCTTCGTCACCCGGAGCGCGGCGCTATGAATGTAAGTGCACCGTCAAGTTGTACATAATATAATGTACCACAATGGAAATTTGTCACGATTTTTATTTGCTTGATCATCAGAAAGCTGCGATGCGATGCCGCAAGCCGCTTATCAATGCCGGGGACGGTGTCGGTGAACACCCGACCCAAGCCCTGCTCGACGTCTTCACCATTCGAGAAGAAATGGGCACGGTCAGGGGTTTGACGATCACGATGGTCGGTGACCTCAAGCACGGCCGAACTGTTCACTCTCTGGCGAGGTTTGTCTTTGATGTTATTTTTCTTTTGTCGCTACAAAATTTCCAAAGCCACGATTTAAAGTTCTCAATTATTTATACATACAACGAAAGCACTGCAGGCAACGCGCACTAGTGTGCCATTGTTGACGTTATTGGTTTTTATCGGTGTGTGTGTGTGTGTGTCTGTGAAAAGGTTGTTGTCACTGTACGAGAACGTGCAGTTCCGCTACGTCAGTCCGTTGAGTCTGGGCATGCCAGACGAGATCGTCAAGTACGTGGCGAGCAAGGGCGTGCCCCAGGAGAAGCATAGCAAGCTCGAGGACGTGCTCGCCGAGACGGACATTCTCTACATGACCCGAATACAGAGGGAGCGCTTCGCCACCCAGGAAGATTACGACAAAGTGAGCCACATTTTTTTTCCCCACATAATTTAACAATTACGATACGCAATTTGTATGTGTACGTTGCGTACATGTTATATGTATACGTCACCCAGCGCCCAATTAATTATACTATTGGGGCCATTGTTTGACATTTGCAGGCGTGCGGTCACTTTGTCGTGACGCCGCAGCTGATGACGCGTGCCAAGACCAAGATGCGAGTGATGCACCCGCTGCCCCGTGTCTTCGAGATAAGCGCCGATTTCGACAACGATCCCCGCGCCGCCTACTTCCGCCAGGCCGAGAACGGCGTCTACGTGCGCATGGCCCTCCTCGCCATGGTTCTCGGACGCTGCTGATATAATATTATGTATGTGCACCCGACCGATCGCTCGACTCCTTTGCTCCTCTCGTCGTTACTAAGTATTATTTCACGAACATAAGAGGCTACACGCATGCACCACAATGAATTACTATATTCCCAATTTCATATTGTTTTTCCAACTGGAAGGCATATATTATGTCTTTGGAGGGTAATTAATGTATTAAGGTTGTACGGGCACGAGCTTTAAACGACGAGACTGAATTTTTTGACGATCGATGTTTTGTAACGTTTAGTGCGCTTTACCTGCGTACACTTCAATCGATCGGTGAATTATCGAGCTGCTTTTATCCTCACGACAATTTTTATTTTAGTACGTACACATAAACAAGATCTTGTGCCTTTTTACATTTAGACGATTCATGTTGAGATTTTGTCCAGCTGCCAATTGTATGTGATGTAAAGCAGAGTCGTTTTCAACACTCGTGAATAATTGACCGTATACCATCTGTATGCGCGAATCAACTGTAGACGTGTGTGTGATTCGGAGACGGGATGTTACACAGGGCCGGTTTTATCAACCGATTTTTTTAGGCAAATTTTTTTACGCAGTGCTATCAGCTGGCTGATTGGTGTGCAAAGAGAATTTTTTTTTTTTTTTTTAATTTATAACTCGTTGAAGAAAGCCAAGTTTTTTTTTTTATTATGGATCGTAATAGTTGACACGGGAATATAATTAGTATGAATTAGGGTAGGTATTTTACATGGTTTTCTCTACAGATATATATGTATGTGATCGGTGTCTACTCATAATCATTTTTATTAGTCGAGTTTTCCATTTTCCATACAAAAGTTATATATTTTGCCAAGATAAATAAAGCTACGGCTTAAAAATATCAATGATATGCATGATCTACAAATGTATGAGCTACTAATCGACATCTGTGTACGGTTTTCCTGTTGAAATACATTTTCTTGAATTTAAAGTGCCCAAATTCTGGGTGGAATCTTATCAAGAAACGCAATTTCAGATTAAGTACACTCGGCGGTACATCATCATATTAATAAGGTATGGCAATTGTTTTGCTCAAATATGCGAGAGTAAAACAAAAATTTGTTTTCATTGATGCTATTTTTGGATGATTGTAATTTTTGACAACACATTTTTTGATTGTTTTTTTATGTTACATTATAGAATCAGCAATGACAATAAAGAAAATTTTAATAACGCAATCAATTGTTTTTTACTTGCCACAATCTAATTTATTTGCTGCATCAATTTAACTATACATTCGGGATAAATTGTTGTAACGAATAATTGGCCCACAAATCATTAAAAAAATGTTTTAAAATACCACAATTTGTAATAGAGTTATTAAATTTTATTTAATATTTACAATGACCCAACATGTTTTTAGGACACGATTGTAATTGCAAAAATGGTTTGATAATTATTACAATGCCACAAAGTATGGCCTCATGCGATTGTTCATCGCATGTATAAATAACACGCTTTAATTACGTAAACTAATAACTTGCTTAAAAATTTTTATATTAAATATTTTTATGCTCACAAAGTATCTCGCGTAAACCATGCACAAGCATACTTATAAATAACCTTCTCGTCATTGAAAACCTTTTTTTTCGTACTTTCAAGTGAGTAACATTTGAACTTTATCAATCAACGATTTTCTCATCCCATATGTAGTGCCTATTTTTACCAATTGTCGTTTATATAGCAATGGCTTAATTGTCCTACACGTACGTTAATTACCTCGAAAAGCTTCAAGCGTTTTGTAATACAATATGGTAAACTATAAAAAGAAGAATCTTCTTAAGGACTACTGCATGTGACTTAGTTATAAACTATATAGGTAATCCATTAATTTTATTAGGAATTTCCTTGAGTCTTAGTTTTAAAACATTTCATCATTACACATTCAGATCTAAATTCAACGTACGAAAAAAAAAAAAAAAAAAAAATCTTTCACATTGTTAGTTTATCTAAATGATACTCTTAAATCGAAGGACTTACAAAAATAATCGATGTAATTACATGTAATTCATAAAAAATGATAAATGGTTAGATTAAAATCAGTTACATACATGTAAATGTGCATTTCCGAAGCAATACATTTAAATGCATATATATAGTCTTGAAGTCAAAAGAGAGTGGCCTGTACATTAAAATTCGAAAATTCAGGACACGAATTGTTCGGTGACACACATCACAGCTTACACACACAGATTTGATGAGACAGTGGTAAAGTTTGAGTTATCATCTCAAAGTGTAAAAAAGTTCGGCAAAGTCTGTCGATCGGATATTATGAGCTTCGTTATAATAATGTACACGCATGTTCTGACATTTATAATGTATATGTATATACATGTATGTACAGAGGAGGTAATCGGAGAATGTATAACGGGTCCGCGTTGTCACACCCGCGTATGCATACGTTCATCACGAGGAAAGAAGGGAAAGGACGAAAGATTTAATTTCTCATTGACGTCACACCAAACGCAATGTGGCGAGGGTTGCAATGTTGCTGGGTGACACGTCTTGGAGTAAATTAATATGCACATGGCTGTCTTCTCCTCGTGACTTTTGTCACGTCGCGTCTGCGGACAAGTGTGAGCGAGTGTGCCGCGTCTTTGGTCACACAACGGCCATGTCGATGGTCGTGGTCGTCGGATGGACGACGTTTATCGAATCGTCGTTTGGGCACATGTCCGTAGCGAAGCACTTGGAGTCCTCGCGCCGGTGCTGGTGACGCTGAGATCGGCCCAGTGGTGGCATACCGAGGCGCATCCGCTTCCGCTTGCCAGACGACGATGCCATGCTGCCGGAGGTGTTTCTGCGGACACGGAATCAAGCAAATCATGAAAATAAACCCTTACGGTAAAAGGTTCAAGTATTTTGTTGAAAATTGTCAAGTGCAATCGGTACGGTTCCTCGGTCGGGATCGCGGGTGTTTGCCGGTTATCGGGTTGTGCCATTTTACGGCACGTTTGGACGATATTGACACGTTGTTGGTTAAAATAAAGTTGCTTTTTTTCTTTCTTTTTTTTTTTTTTTTTTTTCCTTCGAAAGTTCTTGAGTAATAACGTATTATCTAAATAATGGTTATCGATGTTCCAATAAAATATGAAAAAAATAACTTTATCGGATGACTTGATGGCACGATTTGCGATTAAAGTATAAATGAACGTAGACGACGTGAACTCACTGGGTTTGGTAGTCTATGAAGATGCCCATGGAGAAGAGGAAAATTATGGCAGCCAAAACACCAACGATCACGACGACCAGGGTGACCAAGGTGCCCTCCTCCTCGGGCGTCAACGTCACTTCGGTCGTTGGCCACTGTACCTCGTCCGCAACTGCAAGGCAACAAAACTTATGTAGTTTTCACGCACAAACCACAGTCGTGCTATTATATGTATATGCACGCGTTATTATTATTATTATTATTATTATTATTTTTACTCTAATGTGTGTATGTATAGGTACTACATATAAAACAAAATTGGAGATGCGTGGGTTATATGGTCGTTTGGATCTTTTGTTTGTGTGCAAATGTGCGAGTCGAGAGTGACGCAATTGAAATATTGTGAGTTTCACATCCGGAAGTTCGTAATTAGAGGTATAATGTGTTAATGAATTCGTAAGGATTGCCTGATTGTTAAAACCGCTAATGAAATCATCTTTGCGTTGACAACGCCACCAAATGCCCGAGATTGCAAACTTTATACTTTTTGGCGATAAAAATTACAATAATGGTAATGGTTACCACATCGGTATGTTTACGTGGTTACACAAATACACACTCGTTGCCGGAATCTCCAATTATCCGCTGTTCGTGTATTTTTGCCTTATCACTCATACACGCGACAATAGACATCAACTGTTGCTGGTTGTAATTATATTTAGTTTTACGTAATACAACGATGTATTAACGCTCCTTTGGCTTGTTTTCGCCGAAATAGGATTTGGGTATCTATGGATTCAGACTTGGAATTCCCAGGAATGTCTCTCGTCTGGTATGTATCTATGATTACGTGCGCTTTGGAAATGCATTGGAAAAAAAGAGTCGTGTACCGTGTACATGTACTGTGAGAAAATCCACATTGACAAAAACTCCTCTAAATTGTAGAAAAAATCGTTTTACATCTATTAGGCGATGAAAATCATACAAAAGATAGTAATGTAAGCTTTGTTCTTGCACAAAAATCACCAGGTACGTGTTACTGGATTTAAAAAGAGGGGCGTGGGGGGTTGAGCGAAAATTATAATATAACTATGTAGGTACGTTGTCGTCAAAGGTATATTTCCTATTCCCGAGTGTACATTGCTTCTACAACGTTTAAAACATAGTTTGTCTCCATAATCATGTCTTTCCTGTGATCAAGCGAACAACGAGCCAAGAGTGCTGTTGACAATTTTTTTTTGTCCCGCAGCAAGAGTATAGGCACACACGGAAACTTTTTTATTCAGAAAATAATATAGAGGAATAGATTTTGTTTTTTTTTTTTACTTCGAAACACCCTCGATTGAATGAGTTGTGGAACGACAAGGATAAAAACTATGCATGTATATTGCATAGGTGATCCATTAACGGTTGTTGCCGCGAAATTTACTTATCGTTAACTTCGGCTCGCAACGATAATTCACAGTGGATAATTGTAAAGTATTTCGTAGAAGATGTCGTGAATGAGTTTTGCCAGTAAACGAGTCAGTATTTAAAATACGAAATAATGTACAAGTGGAAAACGTTACGAGTTTTTACTAGCGTCATGCAGCTGTACAATAAGTACATTGAAAATTTTTAAATCCAAACAACAAATGATACTTGGTTGAGACGGAAAAAAAAAACAAAAACAAAAAAAATGATAAACAAAAATTAAAAAATGTTTTGTGCTGAGTCAATTGGCAGCTATCATTGTCTCTCCCTCTTTTACATCGCGTTTATAATATCAGCAACGCAAGGTCTGTCTGGTAAATCATCGACGATTATGAATACACATATTTTTGTCACGCGGTAAATATTTTACTGTCCACGATATTGGGCTCATTAAAATAAGAGTAGACTATATAATATATACGCGATCGAAACGTCATAAATTTATGTAACACGCGCGTCATCGAATTGTACATACGTGTGTACTTCGGTATTGGTGTAGGTACACGTAATAATATATGATCATCGCCATCTCGCGGTTTATTGTCTAATTTTCCACTGATGGCTAAATTAAGCCCCACACCAGCACAATGGTCATACTGAATCGACAGCCCATCACCTTATGGACAATCGACGCTTTCCACATGCGGTAAGTAGACACCGATAGCTGAAACGATTGGTCAACCGATCATTTTCCAAACTATGACTATATAGCCGGTATGATGACGCGAGCACGGCTTATCATAAGCCCGTACAAGGTTCTGATAAACAAATATATTATTGAAAGATGAGAGGAAGAGACAAAAAGGTGCCGAATTTCAACGTATGCGCGGGTATATTGTCCATGACGCACCAAAGATTATGTTTAACATCTCCATATATCTCTATCCTGTTGCGAATGTTATCGCGTTTTGCGAGAAATATATACGTGTATCGTAATTTTTGGTACAAATAAATTCAGTTTTACTATTTTTATTTATTATTATTATTATTTTTTTTTTTTTTCTACGACTGACACTTTTATGATGTACTAGCTTTTGCGACGTGTAATTTAATACTTGCGATTCCTCATGTGTACACCGCACATGTATGTATAAACCACGACAGTGTGAAGGCTGTGTGAGGCGGAAAATTTACATTCAATATTATTATGCCACACATTTTTTATTATCATTATTAATAATTTTTTTCTTTATGTAATTCAACTGTATTAAGTCATTGATGCAAAATCATACGAGTAACAAATTCTTGGGCGAGTTTATTACTTTCTCGGTCACTTAAAAAATATGAATAAACTAAAAAAAAGGCACGATTAAAGCGATGGATTATACATACGCTTTATTTGATCTACTAAAGTAGTGCCTATTTTCTAATAATACTATAAAAAGTTTCCGGATGGAAAACAATAAGCTTAATGCAATAGCAACACGCGCCCTCACGTGTAAGTATACGTTTATTAATATAATAGAGCATCCGTTCCTCGTGCAAATCAACCCATCATCGTCGTTCTCAACGTCATGGTCATCTGAGTTTTTTTTTTTTATTTTTTTATTATTTATCATCCATAAATACTCGTCAAAATGTTCAAACTGCAGTGACATACTTTGAGAGACTTGGAAAAGTGTGTTTTTCGATTCGCGCCAAGTCCAATGTTGCCTCAAAAGTGATAAGAAAGTCTATTTGTAGTCGCGTGGATAAACAAATGGATTTTCGCGACAAGAGTGAGAGAGACGCGGTACATTGTTGTTGATAACGATAGTTGTAATACAAATTAGCATTTAGCTGGAGTGTACTTGCATGCACGTTTTTCGCGATAAAACTAAATTCGTCTACTCAAATGCAGGCGTTTCTGTGTCTGGATATCTTTTTTTTTGTTNTGACGAAACTCTAAGGGGAGAAGCCCCCGAGGGACACGATTTTTCTTCTCCTTTTTCTATTCTCGTGATCCAGAATCCATAGGATATAAATATATTTATATGCACGGAAGGGAGAGAGAGAGAGAGAGTCTCTTTATTTCTCCCTGTCTCTCTTTCCACGACGGAATGCACGAGACGGACGAGAGACGCTAATGTGTCTGCAGACTTGGAAATCCGGGAAGTGCGAACGAGGTGTTGAATACAAGTATATGGAATACATTTATTTATAGGTGATTTTTTTCGTGATTGACAAAATAAATGGTAATAATTTATGAAAGGCTCCAGAATTATTTAAAAAAGGTTAATAATTTATTTTGCGTTCATACTGTCCCTTATTCGTATATAAGTAGGCACGTAAAAGATAAAAAGAAAGTATATACAAAAAACATCTTGATTTACTTCTAACGAGAATTTTTTTTTTCCTTGTATCGTTGGTATACGTACATCATCCATATATGCACGAGCTCTGACGCGGATTTATACATATGCGTCGTCGTCGGGGGAGTAAGTATTTAATTTCACTGATATTATACAAGTGTGCCTGCGATGTATCAGTTTCCAGACTTGGGAACGGGTGGTTTTTCCAATTTTTTCATTGTACAATTTTTAACTAAAAATTTAATGCATTATCTGTGCTAAGAAAATTTTTTTAATCAATTCTTACACAAAATTATTTCCATAGCAAAAACCATCCATTATAATTTGAAAAAAAAACATTACTTTATATTTTACAATGAACTTTAACATCAGAAATGTATTGTATTTATCTGATGTAAGAAAAATTTTTATCAGTATTTTGTTGTACATAGTGAAATTTGTTCAACTAAAAGAATGCACTTTATTCCGAAAAAATTATTTTTTAAACTATTTCAAAATCCATGAAATAATCGTGGTCAAGCCTGATCAAGATAAATTTCGACGGATAAAAAATTTTAATTAGTTAATGAAAGTACAAGAAAAATACATTTATCCTTTAAAAAAATAAAAAAATAAAAAAATAAAAAATAATAACAAGATTTCTTTAACTTGACCTAGAAATTTTTGACCACCAACATATACGGTCAAGCGCTTCGTGGCAAAGATCCTCCCTCCTGTTTACTGGTTTTTTTTTTCCAATTGATCTCGAATACACGTATAACGACACAAAACCTACCTAAACATATCTACATGCATTTATAATTATAACGAGAGTTCAAAGCTCCGGAGGTCCAAGTGGAACTAATTTTGCACTATAATGGACTTAAACGCCCAGTTTGATAAGCCAAGTGTTGAGCTGAAAAAACTGCGCGGTTGCTGTGAAAGATTAAAAATATTTTTTTGGGGGGAGGATGTGTCGAGTCACTGTCCCGTGATGATTATCGGGTGCGTGACGTTCATTGATTCATCCCATTTGGTGTTCTATCACAAAGAAACTGGATATCGAGTCGAGTGAATCGTTTGGCAAGAAAAAAAATGATATAAAGTTAATTATTTATTTTTAATGGTGAAAGTCTTAAATAAATGCAATGATTGTCCACTTGTCATACAGATTTTTGGGATACAAGTGCTTGTAAAATGAGATGAAAGTAAAATTTCCTGAAATGGGCTGTTGTAAATGGAGATTAAAAGCTAACAAACAAAATACCATTTGGTATAGCATTAAAAATTCAATCGCTATTGATTGGTATATGCAGGTACGCGGCTATTGGAAACGGATTAGATACAAATTTTATCTTTAAAAATGATCGGCTTCTCGACGTCAATTGCGTCAATCTAAATAACTATAGGTATACATTCAAAGCTCTTGTAATCTCTTTCGCGAATTCCATATATTGTGAATGGTTGAAAAGACGTTTCCCCTGATTACGAGGTAGCGACGAATTGTTTTTTTTTTTTTTCATCGAAAGTGAGGGCACAAGGGAATTAAAAAAAGGTGATCCGAAACAGAGAACAGCTTGCTTGGTTTCCTCCTGCGCTAAACGGCAGTAAGAATCTGTTGAACAATTCGAAAAAAAGTCCCCCGCGTTTGACAACGAGGACGAAACCATCGACAGGCGAGGGCGCGCGAAAAACACCATCTTTGAAATTCATTGATATTTTTTATTTACTCAATAAAATTTTTTCGCCCTCTTGACTACGATCCGCGTCGCGCTTTTTAATTAAAAATCGAATCAACGCGAGACTGTGTATACGAAAATAATTTAAATAACAAGGGTATTTACAAACGTGATTTTACACTCGATGGCAAACGGAAAGAGTTCAGAGACCTGAATACTTATTTACAATAAACCATCACACGTGCCGCATTCCAACGAGCATATTTATGTGCGTTTGTGACACAAGTTGAGAGAATGTACTTACCTCTACTTTCTAAAGCGCAAAAACAAAAAAAAAAAAAAAAAAGAGAAAGGATGCAACGAGGCACTGGACGGAGAATGAAAAGTGAGGTGTGAGCATTACTCGAGCGATTTATGCGTATAGGATCGGTATGGGATATAAGAGCACGTGGTGACGACAGAAGTAGGTATATATATATATAAAACAAAGTGTCACGTTTATACAGAAAAAAAGTAAAAGTAACCAACGGACTCACTCTTCGCTGACATATTGTTCATGTTCTCGTGCAGATTTCAGTCAAGGGGTAAATTTATCATAAAAACACCGGCTCGTTCGGAAAAAAAACCCCAATACAATATCCTACCGATGTTCAGATCGTTTTACCGCGTTAAACTTGAATATGGTAAAAGTAACGCGCGTTAAAAAATGCATTTGACAATCGTATGGGTGGAAAAATTTGGCAACTTATAGATGCACACAAGGTGCTCCGTGAAAGCTCATCGAGGGTAATATAAATATACAGAACAAAAGGTGTAACGTAAAAATATATGTGCGCCTCGTACGAAACGCCGCGGCATACTGAAAGTACAAATGTGGCGGCACGCCGCGTGCGTCTTATATATATATACACCCACTTATTGCGATGCCATTTATATTATATATGTATATGTATATGGTTGCTCTGACGCGCGCGAAGGAGAGAGAGGAACGGAAAACTGTGCGACACGCCGGCCGATTATTATATTGTATCCTCCCTCTCTCTCTCAGCTTCCTTTATAGCTCTTGTGAACGTGCGTATCTGTATGGATTGTATCTTACCTTGACTCTCGTTACTTTGACGTTGACGAAACTCTAAGGGGAGAAGCCCCCGAGGGACACGATTTTTCTTCTCCTTTTTCTATTCTCGTGATCCAGAATCCATAGGATATAAATATATTTATATGCACGGAAGGGAGAGAGAGAGAGAGAGTCTCTTTATTTCTCCCTGTCTCTCTTTCCACGACGGAATGCACGAGACGGACGAGAGACGCTAATGTGTCTGCAGACTTGGAAATCCGGGAAGTGCGAACGAGGTGTTGAATACAAGTATATGGAATACATTTATTTATAGGGAAGAAGCTGGATTTTTTTTTTTTTTTTTTTTTTTTTTCCTTACCTGCGTTTAAAGTTTTCCAAGATGTGCGAGTTGATGAAAAGTCTGGATGTTTATTGAATTTATTGCGCATTTCGTACTATACGCATAAGTATTACGGTGCAATGGAAAAAACGAAACAACATAAACACATACCGATCTTCTGACGTTACAAAATGATTCGGTGAAGCCACATATTATATACATGCACGAGAGGCGATCAAAACCAGCAACAACTGGACAAACATATGCGCGTTTATCTACGTGAGTTGACGTGTAACTATTTGGAAAAAATGTGCACGTCCGAGGACGGAACTGATGCTGATTGACGCCAACAGGTTAGCAAAAGTCGAGAGAAAGTCAACCTGTCCCATCGAGTCGGGGTAACCCCGACACTTTGTACAACTTGTCGGCACCGCGGACGCCGCAACGATTAATACCAAAATGAAAATTGTTTCGTTTTTTTCTTCATTTCAATATTCGATTCAGGTATACATCGCACCAAATGAACAAACTGATGTATAACAGGATAACTTTGCATAAATCCTTTATTGGACTAAAAAAAAACAACGGTGTATTTACAAAATCATTGTACAGTCGGTACCTTATTATTCCCATACCTTACCTATGCTTACATCATAGTATACTATGTATATATTTTTTTTTTTTAGGAACAATTTGCTTTTCCAGTCTATCAGACGTATAGCGTAAGTACATTACGCGCGTGCATCTTACAGGTATGTATAAATATACATATAAGTATATAGTTGAATGAAACACGCACTTGGACGAGACGACGCGAGCCGTAAGTAAGTAAGTATAGCCACGGCGGACAATCAATTTCCGGTTCGCTTTGAGCGCTACTTTTCTCCCTCTCCCTCTATACATTCGACCCATATAATTATGCACTATTTAATCGTTGACTTGAATTTTCGATGTTCAAGTATTTGATTGAGGTTTTTTTTTTTTTTTTTTTTCCTTTATTTCCCNATCGTTTATTTGTACCTGTTTGTTACATAAAACTGTTCGGTTGACAGTTTTTTTATCACTTTTTTTTTTTTTTTTTTTCAACCGACCGACTAATTGCGATTTAATTTCGAAAAACCACTGCAAAAGTGACACTTTCAAGGCCTGTCGTTGAGTTTGGGTTTTAGAATAGGCGCGTACAAACAAAGGGGGACACGTATCGTTGTCGTTCTGCATCTTAAGTGTGCATTATTTATGATTCTCCGTCACCATCCATCGCAATATTTTCGTCAATTAATTCGTCGCTCGACTTCTCACTCGCCTTGTTCTCGCGTCCGAAAATGGCACGATCAAGGCTCTGGCGCGCGACATTCCTGAATACACCGATCGGCCGTCTGATTACATATTGTAGCTATTATGTATTTTGTGTACCTCGCTCTCTGGACGTAAACATAATAATATATATATATGTATACACGCGTGTGGCCACGAACGATAGGAGGAACAAAAACACAATGTACCGGATGGATGCACGGCTTTGTCGAGATTTCGTTATCTTTGTCCCCTGAACTCGCTGAGGCAGTAGTAAGCGTCCACGCCGTGCAAAAGCCCAGCGGCACAGCTCAGCGTCTGGAAATACGAGCAAGCATATACATCTTATGTATTAATGAAGGAAAAATTGTACGGATGCATCAGCGGATATGTATACATGTAAATGAAATTTCTCGGGGTGACAAAGAATTTGCCCACTGGGGATGATGATTTTTGTACCAAAGTGTACCCACACATTTTCACGGATATATTTTTTTCTTTTATTTTTTTATTATACTCGAGATAACGACGCGATTTTTTGCACTACAAGTAGCAAGGAACCTTAGTATACAGGGGCTTTATGAATTTCGGGAAAATTAAAAAAAAAGTATTCGCACCGGATGGGCATGATATTATTATACTTATGTCCGTGTATACGATAATTGTACTCACGTAGGCGGCAGTCATGGCCGGGTAAACGTCGAAGCCCGCGGTGAAAGAGTAGATCGGCCAGAGAAAGAGCTTCGTCGCGATGGCGAGGTAAGCCGCGGAGGTAAGATAGAGGAAGCAGGCCAGCGCGTTGAACATCATTTCCTGGGGAAAGCGAAAGATCAGTTGTTGCATTTGTACTCCCGATATATATATTTTTTTTTTTACTCATCGGGTGGTGATGCTTACAAACAGGGAGGCGCGGATCAGCCTGTACGATTTTTCGGATACGATGTAACAGACGAGGAGCATCGCCGAGGTGAAGAAACAGGCCGACGATGTGGTCAGGGAGCCCTCGAATGCCGTGCCGATCGTCGCGCTGTACCTCAGCCCGTAGTTTATCAGCAAACTCTGGATCATACCGCTCAACAGCTGCGCCAAAAAAAAACAAAAAAACCCAAAAAAATGACGATTTGAAAGTATGACAATTTGCACGTCATGTCGCGGGCCACACTCACTGTTTCGAGGCCCTTGAAAACGCCGGGCAGGCTTTTGATAAACTCGACGTGGACGCACGTGCAGAAGCGCACGAAGCAGCACTCGAAGCCACCGTTGCCGTGGGCCGTCGGCATCGGAGCTTGAATCCTCACCACCGGACCGGTGCGATGACCACCGCCGCTACCGATCTTTACCATCGTGATCGAACCGATTTCCGAAGAAAATAAAATAAAAAAAAATAAAAAAACAACCTCGAGCCACGTGATGTCGCGAGTCGAATGATCGGTACGTACGGAGGCGATGCACCGACCCCGAGTCAACCGGTAAGACTAACGATGAGCCTCCACGGTCGTCCCAAAGGGATGGCCTTTAGCCGCGGATGCATATATAGATTGTCGCGAGAGTCGCGTGTCGTTGCACCCCCCGCATACCTCGCGTATACTCCCCGGCGTCTCAGTCGTCGACACCGTCTCGCCGCCGGGCCTATTTCGGGCGCGCGCTCCTCACCTTCGTTCCTTTTTTTTTCTCCCTCCCTCCCCCTGTTTTCCTTTAGCTCTCTCGGTCGTCGTGTCGCGTTTTTACACCGCTCCCTTCCCTTACACGACGCAGGAAGAGATTTAGCGCCTCCGCGAGCTTTTTCCGGCGCAAGCTCGCACTCGGGGCGAGGGGGCACTAACAGCTTCCGACTAGCTCCGGATGCCGGGGAAACGATGTTTTCGGAGGGACAAAAATATATACAATGGGGCCGCGAGTCGCAGATACAGAGATCATTACATCACGTGGGTGTGACTTGACACTTGGGATGGAGCCGATCTTCTCATGATGATGCATCGCTACAAGATTGGTCATTTTCCTTGGGTTTTATTCAAATTCAATAATTTAGCACATACGTTACATGTATATGATATGATGATACGGGCGCATCTTGAGCGGTGACGTCTTATCTCGACTTTCGAGTAAACACCTCCGGACGGCACTTGGATGAAAAAATTGTTCATGTACGTCAAGGGGGTCCGCGTGTACTTGCTCGGCGAGAACCTGAACTCCCGAAGTAGGTAGCACAGCGCGATCTTTGGCTTGAGTATCCCGAGTCGCTTGCCTGTGTACACAAATGAAAGATTAGCTATGTAGGGGCGATGGGTCACGGCAGCTTTTTATTTTTATCATCATATACCATACCGATGCATATCCTGGGTCCCTCACCAAAGGGCAGGTAAGTAAAGTTGTGCCGGTTGGCCGTGTTCTCGGGGGTGAAGCGGGTGGGATCGAATTTCTCGGGATCCGAGTGCAGCCCGTTGATCGGTATGACGAGCATCATGCCTCGGGGCACGCGGTAGTTCGAGCCCGGTATGTCAAAGTCCTCGGCGCAGACGCGGTTCAGTAACGCAGCGCCCGGCTGCTTCCTCAGCGTTTCTGCACGAGCATATATTTATATGTCTCATGATGGGTCATTGGAACAAAGAGTAGGGGTGGGGAGAAAATCGACCTACCGCAGAGCACCATGTCGAGGTACTCGAGTTCGGTGAGTTTTTTTGTAAGTGAGACCCTCGGGGCCGTCGAAGGCCTCGTCTATCTCCTCCTGGAGCTTCGCCTGGATCTCGGGCTCGAGGGCCAACTCGTGCAAGCAGCAGCATATTGCCGAGGACGTCGTCTCTTGTTTTTCTTTTCTTTTCTTTTTTTTTTTTTTTTTTTTTTTTTTTTTTCAAGAAAAAACTGAAAAAGAAAAAATCATGCTAACCTGTGCAAAGTCTAGGCTTTTTACTTGATGTAACGTTGTCAGAAACGACTGCTGATGGCGATAGAGGCTCCTGTTGTCTTTTTAGTCCAGTCCTATTTGAACCCCTGGCTTGTAGTATAATGAGCTCTGCTGACTGTGACACTTCCTTATATGTAGCTATCTCCTCTACTGTGGCTTGCCTCTCTATTGCAACTTCCCCCTCTATTCTGGATGGCTTCAAATGAGCAGTATTCTCTCTTTCTGCTTCTTTATTCTGATTCGCTGTTTCGATCCCTACTTCTTCATTTTTGATCAGATTAGCTGTCTTTCCCCTTTTAGCTCTTCACCTTGGCTTACTAATCTCCTCTCCACTATGCTGTAATGACCCCATGGTAGGGTGTCTGTAGAACCGGAATTAAAATAACGTTCGTCATCATGCGCACTGAGCGCAATTTTTGCTTCTTTTTCAGTAAAGAGCTAATGATGTCGTGACCTGATACTTTTTTGCTCTCGAGTCATACTAGTATTTTCGCATAAGCACTTGATGTAATCATCAAAGTTTATTATAGCATTTACTACTGAGCTTTTGACACCCTTGGCTTTCTTCAATGGCTTTTGGTCTTGAATCCTTACACTATATATTTTGCTCCTCAATCCTACGAATTCAATCGTGACTTTTCTATTGCACTCATCCTTCATAAGGCCAAGAATTTTTTTATTACTACGAAACATGTTAAAATCATTATTAATAGAATAGTCCCATGTGTCAAATGCTATGATATTTTCACGCATCACATTATAAATATTGTAATTTGATATTTCATACAGAAGACTGTCGGTGTCTGTGTATAAAAGTTTGCATTGATCTGCCGTTTGACTTTTCCTAAAGTCATAATGAAATTGATATACAAGTGTCTTAGATAGATCCAAGACACTCAATCTAACATATATTGGATTATGCTGATTTCGGTGCGTAATAATTGTATTGCCACTAACTGCTTAACAAATATGTCACAGCTGTGGAAATTTGGTCGAGCAATTTAACTCTCAGCACCGCAACGCCCTTTCCGTTTATTAATAAGCTTGACATCAATACGTTCGCGCTTATTCTCCATCGTTTTTCCATACGTAGCATTACTTAATAATTTATACAAAATTTTCTCAAAGTCATTTGTTACATTTTTACGCTTTTTCACTGTTAAAGTATATATATTTCTTTAACCACGGACTTTGATTAAACTAAAAAACTGTGAACTTTATTTATGCGAAGACCATAGCTAACGGCTTGTTTGAGTGCACGATAGTATATCTTATATCGTGGTTTATCTTATAATGTAGTCATCAATTTTTTTTGCTTGGACGCTGGAGGTGCGATGTGCTCATCATAGAAAGGTAGATCCTTATGGGCATCGTGAAGAGTCTTAGGATAGTCAAGGTCCACTTCATGTATGAAACCTATTTCTCCATCATCTGCCACGTTCAAAATACCAACTGGACTAACATTTTTAATCCATTTAAAGCCTCCATAAGGCAATGGTTTGGTCATAGCCCATCCATACAAATTATTAACATTAAATATTTTTCATTTTTATTAGCTTTATAGCCTTCTTTCATGTACGAATTGTTACCCTTGGCATATCGATTGCAACATTGGCTTATACCACCACGAATTCCACGCTCGATGAACATAACCATATCTATGTCAGTCAACAGTTCCAATTTTACCGGTAATTATAATTTTAAATGTATAAATTATACATGTGTAACGATCTTAATACTTTGCACATATTACTCACATTCGTCAATTTCAACATCGCGTCCCATGTTAGGCCAGGCGTTGTGTAATAATGAGCTGGATTTAAATGATATGCCTCAAGACAATTATTTTTAAAGTTTTTAAATATTTCAACTAGTAACAATACATCTGTCTTTAAATATAAGTCGGAATACTGCCCAAGTGTTTGTATGTTAAAACTATTCCAAATATTTATAGCATGTTTATATTCTTCATCACTGATATGGACTTCGACCAAGCTGCTGTAGAAACTTTCTTCTGATGGAAGCCTAAGTTTCTTAAGTTTTTCAAAAGAAGATGTGTAACCGTAAGGGTACACACCTTTTTTTAAATAAATTTATTTGATCTGTAGTGTAATGATCATCATTTGAAAATACTGTTTCCAATACTTTTAATTCTTTTAAATAAGATGACAATTCATCAAGAGATGAAGTCATAAGCTTAAAGGAACCAATAAATCGAAGACTGACATCAGTCCCTTCTACATATTTTGTAAATGAGATGTATTTTTCTTTTGTTTGTGGTAGAAGCTGGATTCTTCCCGAGAATCATGTAGCAAATTCTTTTACAAACAAATGCGAATCATATCCACTCAAGTTGTTAAAAATTACGGGTATCATTTTCCAGTCTTGATTATTAAGATTGCATTTGTTATAAGCGGGACCACGGTATCTAAAATAAAAAAAAAAATATTGTACGCTTCATGATAAAATGTGTTAAAAAAAAGTACACTTACTTTCCAGTGAGATGACAGTGATCTCTAACTCTTATTTCATCCAAGCTGAATGGTTGGTTGCATGTGTGACACAAAGGAGCTTCATTATACTTAAATTGTTCTTCAAGTGTCAAATTTGTCATTTTTATAGGGTTTTTGTATAATTCTTCTAGTTTTAGAGCAAGAAGATACAGAGAACAAACAAACCACTAAGGAGGTGTTTCATCATTGTTTTCATCACTTTTTCTATAACTCTTATATTCTGATTCGCTATCATCGTAAGAGCACTTAACAAAATAACCAAAACTGAATGCTCTACGACTTTAATAAGCATGACTGCTTTTCGCAGGGTTTTAGCAAACACTCAAAGTTTGCATACACAACGAAAGGTACTTTATTTTTATACGTAAAATTTTTTAATTGTAGTGTATCATCTTTCTGATTTCTATTGGGCAGTATAATTTTCTAACTTTTGTTTTGACGAAAAATAGTGAAAGCAACGATGACATACATGTACTGCATGTTCATGTTGAGATAATTGTTTACATACCAAGCGGGGTAAATTTTTCATCTAGACGTAATGATATTTGTATTCTTCGTTTAAATGATTATTACTTTCATTCATATTGTCATCTTCATAATCTACATAGAAGCTTTCAAAAAGTAAAAGATTCACATGGACTTTTTTTTTATTTATTGTTAAGTGACTGGGAAAAACATTGTATACATCATTTCTCTTTTTAAAAAAATATAAACTCACCGATACTTTGTTTTGGTTTTCGAATTTTCTAATTTGCTTTGGGTTAACTGAAAAATCAATTCGATCAAAGTTTAACTCGTTTTCGTACTGAACATAGTTCGAGACCCGATTTGGATTTCTTTTTTTTGGATGTATTGCTGACAGAATAGCCCATTTAAGACACTGAACGTCTCTGTTTACTATGTTTACACAAGCATTTTTGTTTTTTATGTAACCTGGCAAATCTGTAAAAGAACTACCTCGCATAGGATTTAGTTTATTAATATTCACATTTTAATTCAAATCTAAGAGCAAAGACCAGCGCGATTCTTTGTCACTAAAATCATCTATATTTTTTTGTATTGGCTGTTGTACACTCACATCAAACCATTTATTCAAGTCTGTTGTCTGAAATATAGATTGTGATTTTGTATCAAAGTATTTTAAATCTGCATTTTCAAAATTATCTTTACCTATTATATATTCAGGTGCCAACACTGTATTTACTTTTAACGCTTCATATTCACGAAGAGATCGATGGATCCGTTTTACAAACTGATGTTTAGCGTCTTTTAAAAACTTTTTCAGATCTAGGTGTTTTAGATTTACGATCAAAGCTGTCGTAGTGAGTTTTTCAAATGCACTATTAAAGTCATTTAAATTTACTGATCTATCATTCTGAAGAACGGGAGATGCTGTCGCTTCTATCATACCTTCATCTTGAGTGCTTGTTATAGAGCCCGTTTCTGTCACACCTTTACCTTAGACGCTTATTGAAATCTAACAGTCTTTGAATTTGAGCAGCATTGACTTTACTTTTAACAACTTGTTGGTATGANGTACCCCCCCCCCCGAAGGCTCTAATTGCTGTTTATCGCAACTCGGACTCTCTTCCCTCCCTTTTTTTTGCTCTTTATTTATTTCTTTTCTTTTCTTTTTTTTTTTTTTTTTTTTAACTTACAGTAGCTTTGTAATAAAATAAGTGCTTAATGTAATGTAATGTAATTACATAAAAATGTAAGAGCTTAATGTTAGTAACAAAATTCGTTAATAAAAATTCAAAAAAAAAAAAAAGACGGGATCTAGGAAGTGACGGTACGTACCTTTTTGCTTGAAATCCGCGTCTCTGGTGCACGATTCCTCGTCGTCCAGCTCGATCCGACCTTGGTCCATGAGTTGCACGAGCATGTCGAGAACGTCCTTCCTCGCGAGATTTTCGGTTCTCCGGCGCGCCACCATTTTATTGTGAACCTCCTTCCTCTTGGCTGGCGGCACCGGGCAAAACTTGACCAAACTCGGCACGTAAAACGTCAACAGGACGAACATCTTGCCAAAGTCGTTGCTCATCTTGCCGTGCCTGTACACCTCCTGCTCATCCTCGCCCCTGCCCAAACTGTTGCAGTTCAACCCAAAGGCGATCGACGAGATGCAGTCTATGGTGAACCTGTTTGTTCGCACGTACAAGGGCGTGAGTGAAATCAAGTGGCGGGGGGGGGGGAGATACGCAAGTGGAGGGAGGTAGGGGGTCAACAGACCTCGACACCAGGTCCTTCATGCCGACGAGGTCCGAAGTCGAGAGGGAGTCGTCGACGGCTCGAACGAGCTCGCGGCTGATTTCCTCGAGGAGAGGGTACATTTGCTTGAGCTTGCCGGAGGTGAAGGCCGGGGACAGCTTTGTCCTGAGGCTCCGCCACTTGTCGCCGCAGAGCCGCGCGAGATTGGCCGACAGGGGGTCCTTGTGCTCGTTGTTGTAGCTGCCCAGGTCGCGGAAGCTCGAAAAATTCTTGATCGGCACGAGTTTGACGAGCTCCGGGTCGTTTATCACGATCAACGGCTCGTTGAACAGATGAAGCCCGAAAAACCAGTGCTCCCTCATTTTGTGGTAACTTGCCTTTATTATCTATCTCCCCTGCTTAAAAATACGTATATCTTTTCTTTCTTTCTTCTTGTATATGGATGTCCAAGTGGGATATATGGGATTTATGTAAAAGTGGGGTGGTTTTCCACCCCCCCTCCCTCCTAGGATGGGGTATGTAGGGGGTGTGCAATTTTAGATGATAATTAATGATACATAATCGAACCGACCGTGAGGTATATTGCCCCGTAAGTAGGAGATGGGAATGTTACCGATGAACGGAATGGCCCCTTTGACGTACGGCACTCCGTTTCGGCTCCAATAATCGTACACCATGAGCTTGAAATACATGTAAACGCCGATGGCTATTGCCGCGGACCAGCCGAACAGTAACTTATACGATAATTCCATATGTTTTCGCTGCAGCCACACTATGGCATACGTACAAGCGAGTGACTCTCGATAGGCCACGGGCTCATTACTCCGAGAGCCCCCCGAGTTTACATAATGAAATATAGGCCAGTATCTTTCCTTCCTTGTTTCATCAAAGTAGATAAGATTGCATATATACTTTCGTTTGCGATGCGTATTTTTTTTTTTTTTTTTTTTTTTTTTTTTTTCGTCAAAAAGCAGATTTCGCAAGTTTGGACGAAGCAAACAAAAACGCAAGTCAGTGAAACGGCGCGTCAATGGATATACTTGAAAAAATTCATCTTTATTATTGCACACATTTCAACATTTTTATTATTTTAATATAATCATCGATAAATGATTACGTGTGCATGGGTACTCCAGAAGATGGATGATTCTTCGTTGCTGTTGGTTCGTCGGGTTGCTCATCGGCAGGGGTTAGCAGAGGCGATGAAAAGTTTTTTTTTTGTTTTTTTTTGTTTTTTTTGTACAAAAGTATTTTCCTTAACTATCAAAAAAAAAAAAAAAAAAAAAAAAAAAAAAAAAATTGAACACGGTAAAAATTACTTTAAAAATTCTTTAGAAAAATAGCGTTTCGTTTGTACTCTGTTGATTTTAAATTTTTCTACGGATGAGAAAACCAAGGCTCGCAGCGTACAAAAGAGCCATTATAAGTCCAAAAACCTGAAAAACATCATAAACACATTTTTGTAATTTTTCGTAGAATATTTTGGGCTTATGAGAATTTAGTGAGTATATATACTTACTCCGGCCAATAGTAAAGTAACGGAATTTTTGGGATTGCTTTCGGAGAGACTGACGATGGAGCCGATCAACAACAGCAGCACAGCAGAGCCGTTGTAAATGATATCCTGTGGGGCGATTTCTTCAATAAATAAAACTTGTTTTGTGTATTACTTAACAGTTAACTAATCGAGTTTAAATAAAATCACTCACGTAATTTGTCTTTCCTATAATGGGCTCGGATACGGGCGAGAAAAAATAACTGATTATAAAGATGGCAGTGCCCAGCATGAATGCAAATGCCACGAGCATCAGGAATATATCCAAATTGTTTATCCACTTCTCATTCCTGCCGTACAACACGAGTAGAACTACTACGAGTCCAACAACCTGCATTGATCAGATTTGGTTTTTTTTTTGTTTTTTTTAATACATTTGTCCATACGTGTTGAAAATATATATTTGGATGATTAAATAAATGCATTAATAATTAATTCAATTCATCAAAAAAGAGCGTATAATTTATTGTGTGCTTCAAAATTGCTACGGGAAAACAATTTCTTATATCAAGAGCATTGTATTATTTTACAAAATAGCATGAAATCGATCTAAAAATTTTTTGTTTTTTTCCTTCGTCACGTCGCAATTGTCCAGAATATAAATTCGAAAAAGTTATAAAAATGCACGTTTTAATTTTTTTTTTTTTTTTTTTTTTAACTTACAGTAGCTTTGTAATAAAATAAGTGCTTAATGTAATGTAATGTAATTACATAAAAATGTAAGAGCTTAATGTTAGTAACAAAATTCGTTAATAAAAATTCAACAATGTACATCGGTGAGAGACAGTAATGAAACGTAAGTAAACTATTGGCTCTGAGTTAACTGTATGTGTGACACAAGTACCCAAAAATTGTATAGCCTTGAATAAATTAAATGCTCTGCTATTGCAATCGGCAGTTAAAAATTGTACGCATACCATCTATAATGTTTAACTATATACTTTCACGCGTATGCAGCTTAAAGCTTTCAACGGTACGTGAAAAATAAAAATTTGAAAGATAACAAGCTTTGACATTATTTTTTGTCACGTGGCACTATTCTTTTGTTCAACCGTAAATTTGACCTTCGTTTTTGGGCGATTTATTTGATTTCATGCACGCAACTGACACATGAAATTTATGAAACTTGGAAACGACGTTTAGATTTAGATTTTTTAGTGACTGCTGCAATCTGATAGCACATTTAATTTTAAATGTCCCCGAAGCCATCGCTTGTGGTTGTAAATATATATCAAAACAATTTTAAATACACACTCCAACTCGAAGGAGCTGGTTCGAAAACATTACAATAAATTTGCACATTTACAATTGTTTACACATAGATTTGGAAAAAAAGCAGCAGTATAAAGTTGTTTTGAAACGTGTAAGTTCGCAATAAGTACGAGGATAAAAATAGTAAAAAAAAAAAAAAAAAAAAAAAAACAAAGTGACACACATCACAACATCGCTTTTGCTTCGAAACAGTTCAAAATGTAGTCAATAATCGGGTACACATCGTCTGTACATGTACGGCATTATACATCATAAGCACATAAAAAAAAAGTCCGTATATATGCATAATGACTATGAAATAAAGCACAACAGCTGCATGCTCCTCGATATTTGCTCAATGCACATTGATCGCTGGACGCGTGTTTCGATTTTGGCGTTATTCGTTTAGATGGCCCGAGAAGTACGAAGAGCGAATATGGTGGTGATGAAGTACAAGATCGAGTTTATGATGCTGAGAATCTGCAAAATAAGGTGAAAAGGGAGATATGGTTTTTTTCAATGCCAAAGTATTTATATAGAGGGAGCAAAGAAAGAGAGATGAGGGTCACTCACGGATGCGGTAAGTTCCATTTTTTCAGCATTATAATACCTTCTGGACCTGGTTAAAAGCGTCACAGAGGCTGCCAGGAGGAGGGCGAATCCCAACGCATGGTACAGTAGTTCCTGTTCGAAAAACCATTTTTTTTTTTTTTTTTTTTTTTTCATTCGCATATATTCATTAACACCGATCACGACGGCAATTACAATTTTTTTAATCCAATGAAACACGAGTGTACTCACAAAAATAGTTTTCGTGATGATGGATTCTGTGGTGAAGGAGCATAAACTGCTGAGAACTAGTATCAGCGAAGTCATCATGAACGACGTGGCGACCAGCAGGAAAAACAGATTCTCGAAGGTGCTGTGGCCGTTGTATGTATTGTTAATAGCGTAAAATACGATGACCACGGAGATGATGCCCAGTATCTGAATGGTCACGTTATCAATTTTTTTATTTTTTTTGATTTTATTTGTTGTATCTGTTTGCAAATTCTCGTCACTGCGGGATGAAAGTCCAGCAAGTAAGATATTCATTACGTGCACTAAAGTATTTTATGATATACCTTTACTGGCTATTAAAGCCACTCCCTACGTTACAACTGTTGCGCGTAAGATCATTTGCCGTCAATTGAGTGGAATACTTTAATATACGTGGATGTACTTGCCGGACTTTTGTTGTGTTTGTGTTGGCTTTTAATTTTTTCACAAATAAAGCATTAATAGCATTCGCTAAAGTTTTAAATACAGACGAGCGCCGTCTTGAGCGAAGAAAAAGGTAAATGTGCCATTCTGGGAGTAATGTGATGTGTGTTTTATCGTTTATTTGTACCTGTTTGTTACATAAAACTGTTCGGTTGACAGTTTTTTTATCACTTTTTTTTTTTTTCTCTTTCTATTCCATCGTTTTTTTTAGCTGGGCTAAGGCTCCCAGATTTTCGAGAGTTCGCCGCATACGCAGTGCGCAGTCACCCTCTCCTTTCTCAACTCAACCAAGTGGTAAGCTCCCTCTATACCTATACTTTGACTTAAGCCTCGTCCACTTCCTGCAACTTAAATACGAGTTCTTATACATTGCAGGTACGAGCGCTGATGGTCGAGTATACTCAACCTTTTGTTCCTGCTGGGCTAACTAGCGAGGTTATCGATTCTCGCCAATGTCATATTTTTTTTTTTTTTCANTTTTTTTATCACTTTTTTTTTTTTTTTTTTTCAACCGACCGACTAATTGCGATTTAATTTCGAAAAACCACTGCAAAAGTGACACTTTCAAGGCCTGTCGTTGAGTTTGGGTTTTAGAATAGGCGCGTACAAACAAAGGGGGACACGTATCGTTGTCGTTCTGCATCTTAAGTGTGCATTATTTATGATTCTCCGTCACCATCCATCGCAATATTTTCGTCAATTAATTCGTCGCTCGACTTCTCACTCGCCTTGTTCTCGCGTCCGAAAATGGCACGATCAAGGCTCTGGCGCGCGACATTCCTGAATACACCGATCGGCCGTCTGATTACATATTGTAGCTATTATGTATTTTGTGTACCTCGCTCTCTGGACGTAAACATAATAATATATATATATGTATGGTTTGTTTACTTCTTACAACAATTTGCGGAAAACAAATCGTTGTCGAGATTAATTTTGTTTAACGCTTTGTAAAAATTTGATTATTTTTTTATATCGAGTTAATTATACTACACGGAAATTGTCTATTTTTAATTCGTGATATCGTACCTCGTACAGTATTACTGAATATTTCGTATCTGTTTTTTTTTTTTTTTTTCGTATATTTTGACGGATAAATTTATTCGGCCTAATGGTTTATTTTTGTATCGTTATAATCTTGGGAACATAAGAATCGTGTTTTGGATGACTCATCATTGAAGCAGCGCAATGGTTACTTCACTATGAAATAAAAATTAAAAAAAAAATGTTTATCAAGCCGCAATAAAATGTACAGCGCAACCGCACGAGGAATTCGAGTTTATCAATATAAATAAAAGTGACAGCCGATAAAATAGAAGAAAAAAATGGTCATGATGAGAGGGTGGCGTGACGATGATTCGCGTACGAAAATAAAGATGAGGCTCGAGTTATCGTCATATATATAACGTATATACGGAGAGAGAGAGGAAGTTAAATTTTCACACGAATTTGAGCGCTCGGGCAAAGCTTCTTGGAAGAAAATTCGACGAGTTATAGACGAGCCAGTGTAGCTTTTGGCTGATGGCGTTACATTTTTCACCGTCACCGAATATTTCATTTTCAAGATCGTCGCGTTTACGTTGCAGCATTGATATTTTTTTCCCAAAGGCCGAAAAAAAGATATTCCTTGGAGCACTACTTTTTTCAAGTTGATTGTAACGTAACGAGAGAAAGAAGAGAACCGATTTTTTTTAAGTTTGGATGGATTGCAAAACTACAGCTATTAGGTATACGAATGAAACGAATCAATGAATGGCAGTGCGTGCGCGTGATGTAATGTATTTTATAGTATTGATGAACGGCCAAAAGTATATGACCGCGTCCAAAACCTGCGTTTGTGCGATCGGTAACGATATCGTTGGTGCAAAATCGGTACTCGACTGCAATTCAAACTGATTTCGAAGCAACGTAACAAAAGTTGTGTGTGGATGTTATTAAAAGTGAGGGGAAGAAAAAAAAAAAAGGTGAATATGTTGTCAGGGGTATACGAACCACTTGTGCGATTTTCAAGAGGCCCGCCCAGCTCTTGCAAAAGCCCACGTTGATGGACGAGGGGCTGCCGGTCGTGACAGTGCGGGTTTGAATGGTCACCGAGTGAGACATCTTTGCTCACTGTTTTCTGAAAAACAAAAAAAAATAACCATTGAATTAATACTTACGATTAAAAATGACTGCCTCGTTAATTCACGGCCAAACGATGAAATGGCCCCTGAGACGCGAAACCCGCATCGTGAGGCAGAAAAACGGATTGTTGGCTCGGTAAAAATAAAAACCCAACAAACAGACTCTGGTCTACCCGTTGAATCCAAAAAACGAGGAAAACAAGAGCGACAAGAACGTCAAACCTAAAAGAGAGAGAGAGAGAGAGACCCGAGCGCTGCACCATGTAAGTGTACCATAAGGTGCACCAAAAGAGCACAAGGCCGCGCGCGGTGATGGTAGAGAAGGAAGGCGAGCCGTCTCTCTTTTTCTTTCGACTGACCCACATATATTGAGCGAGTACGCGCTACGGAAATAAAAATAACTTCTCCTCCGGCCTTCTTTTCTCCGGTTTTGCCTCGAAAGGTGATACACACACACACACATATACATATATACTTGTCCAACGAGCGTGCCAACAGTTCGAAGCCATTGACGAGCCGTCATCATCTCCACCTCCTCCCCGTGTGCTGGCCCGTGCAATTATAATTTTGCGTCAAAAACGCCGCCACGAATTTTAAAATATCACTCGCCTTTGTTGTAAACGCGCGGCTTATCCCACAAGAGTTCGTCGTCTGGACAACAATGGCACGTTCCGCGTACCTTCTTCCACCTCGTACAATGATAATTGTGGGCAACATGTAATGCGCAATACGTAAGACAGGAGCGGAAGAAACATCAGCCGCGCCCACGGATGCTACCCATACAAATAGCGTGATATGGGTGGCAGAGAGAGAGAGAATTAAAGTTTTTTTAGACCCGAGTTGGCTTTGTCTAGTATGGTTATACCTAATGGGAGCCAAGTTACGGGGTTATCGTGATAACTTTAAATGGGCCCTATGGGAAAAAAAACCGTGTGTTAAACGAAAAGGAGTGAGAAATCGGTAAGACTCGCTTCCTTGCTCAGGTCGCTCGATATTCTGTTTCTTCGAAATTCCAAATTTTTTTTTATTCAGCTCAGATTCAGGAATCGCTTGACCGTGACGTTCTCGTTGACTCAAATGGCCACTTAGCGTCAACCTAGTGCCGCATATGGATTATACGCATTAATACGCATCACATTTTGTTGATTACAACTTTTATTAGGATGGAAAAAAAAAAAAATGAAAACGGTGCGAGTATGAAACAAAAAAATAGTTTTATAGGGAAAAACAAGCGTGTTTCCGGAGATTTCAAAAGATACCGAGAGTATAGCTACGTTATCGTTATTGTGTCAGATGGAGATAATTGGTAACGGTAAATGTCACAACAAAAAGACGGTTGATGAGGAAAAAAAAAAAAAAAAAAAAAATTAGTAATCATACATGAAGAAAATAAAGGAGTAGACAACAACGACGGGAGTTCCGAAGCGGCTAGGTGACCTCCACGAAAAATCGATAATCCTGGCGCCACTTTTATTTCCCCATGGTACACATAATATATATAACCGTGGCCTTCCCATGTACTAGCGTCTCCCGTTTTGATGAACAAGTATAGTCGCCCAGCGCAAGTATAATAAATAAAAAAAAAATAAAAAAAATGAAAAAAAACGGGTTACTACAAGTACCAGTGCAGTGGCAATTAGTTTTAAATGTAAAAGCTAATGTCTCGCAAGAGCCGCTCCCCCTCCCCCTTGTATTTGTCTAACGGCCCGAGATAAGAAGCAAGTGTTACAACAATTTTTCGATTCCAATATCTTCCAAATAGCTTGGGCATTATTTTTGTTCGAGCGCCAAGTTAAATGTTGCTTCCAATAATTTTATTCTTGGTTTCGGTGAAGTTAATCCACGCTTAGGCTTGTTCATTCGCCAAGGCACCACGAAATTTTATGTTCGTGATAAACACTTCGTAGTTGAAAAAGTATAAAGAAAAAAAAAAAAAAAAAATCGCGTGGTATTTTAGTGTACGTGCGTATAGATGTATCTCGTGTGAGTCACGTTTATTCGTACTCTGCTCGTTTCGACAAAAAGATAAAATTTGCATGTTCCGATTAATATACATTTTCGAGCTTGACGTAACGTCTCAAAATGTCAGATTGTGCCAATAAGGAGCAAACGAACAAACTCATGCGTTACGCGTAAATTCAAGTTTTTACTATACCGGTGAGATCCAAGCTGAATCTCGATCGGTTGAAAATTGCACGGACCTCCTTCGAAATAGCGACACTGTAGTGAGGTATACCTACGTACCTACCTACCACCGGTTATTTCACATACGATATAGACGTGCGCTTCGTTTATACCCTGACACTTTGTAATGTATCCCAAATATACAAACACACCTAAATTAACGATACACCGTCCGGAAAGACGTTAGCCTCGAATTGCTCAAACACATTAGACAATGATTCAATGTTTGACGATAAGTGTCGCCGCAAATTCGAAATATCGCGACAATTTGATCAATTTTGAACGAAATGTAAGTACATACCCTATATAATATCTATACTCGATAAGCAGTCTGTGATAAAACTGGGCCTTCTCTCGCACACTCGCGCACTATATGACTGATACGTCTCCCAAATGATCTGCAACATGCGTTTCATGCGTGAAAACAACCAACACGAGAATAATACATATTATTATTATTATTATTATTATTATTATTACTAATAAACCATGTAGCTTCAATTCTTCTACAATAATGGTAAAAATAACAAAGCAGAGATAATGACGTATACCTACCCAATGTAAAAATGTGCTAGTACTAAAAAAATAAAATAAAAACAGTAATTCGACTCGACTCGGCTTTGGTGGCAGCTCACGTTTGACTGAATTCACCGAGCAGCCGGAGAGTGAGTATTATGGGACAAAACACACGCGCACACCCACATCGCCAAGTATATATACATACATACATAAATACATGAAGTAGGTGACGTCAGCACCGGTGATATCATCCTTCGCTTCGACTCGTGAGCGCGGTGATGGCCATCGCGAAGAAGAAAATAAGTTGACCGGTTTGCTATATCGGACGAGTAAGTAATAATCCTTTACAACAACGACGAGGACGAGTACTTAATCATTATTACAAAACTTTCTTTTGTTTTTTCTTTGCTTCGTTCAATTTGTCCACTGCACACAATGTTTATATACGTAGATGGAAAGTATATTACATCTGAATTGTATGGACACAAGTAGTGTGTAAGGTGTGGCGAGACGTAGCTGCTCTATACACATATATACATTTTTATAATTTACTTTTGTACCTATGCATATATACAGACATGAGAGGCGCGAGGGTGTGTTCGGATGATTGTCCTTTGGGAGTGATTTTTCTACTCAAGGTATTCACGTTGGGAGACTTGAGCGGTCAAAGGGGCCATTAGGTGCCATTGCACTTTTTTATTGAAAATTTTTTTTAAATTATATGAATAATTAAGGGATACCCTTGACTGCAATTAAAATACATACCCTACCCGGGGTATTAACTTTTATTCATTCTTTAGACATTTTTTGGCACTCCTGCACTTGAAATTCCATTTACAATGATGGTGAATGTGATAATGATACTTCTTGAATTTTTACTCTGAAAGTATGACTTATATGATGATGACTTATACAAATGCATATTATTTACTTGTAATCATGTACAATATTGTATATTGCGTCACCTCAGTTATAACTTAAAAATATAGTGAATTACCATTTTTGTCCATGATAAAAATATGACTCAAAAAATAACATTGTCTGATACTTTTACATTCATTTTTTTCTCGAGGGTAGGACGAATAAAAATTAACAAAACAAATTAATGGTTTCAATCGTTAATGTATTTATTTCGTTTGTTGTGTCCATACTTTGATCATTTTATGCATTCGATAACATTTTTGCACAGAGAACAATCGAATCGACAGTTGTTAATATAATCTAATCTCATATAGATTATAAAAAAAAAATATATATATATATAACAGTGTATATTCTAGTTCTATTTTTACTCGCTTAGTAATGTTCTTTTCATACTCATCATATATATCTTTAGAAACAAATTAAATATATTTTTTACGAGAATCGTTATTTCTCATAACAATCAACATATCTATATAAATACGTACATGTATAATTTTCTGATGTATTAGATTACATAAAATTAAGGCGCAAAAAGCAGCATATTTTTTCAAAAAAGTCATTTGAATTGACATAAAAAAATCCACAACAATTATCTGATTAGACAAAGTTGTTATTATGTAGCATCTTACGGTAACTGAACCCCGGTTTTTTTTTTTATCTCGGCACTTGAACATTCCAAAAATCATGTGTAAAATTTCACATCTTGTACAGTGTGCCATTTTCTTATATACCATAAGTACAATAAAAAAAAGCGAGAATAATAAACTTAAATTGAAGTAGCAAGAACACAGTGGTTGTTGATTGACGTAAGAGAAAACATACCTATACTATTATTAATGATAAAAATGTTAGCTGTCGCAGTAATCGTTCAATAATAATTAAATAATACATAAAAAAAGGGGCACAATAGTGGTTACAAACGAACATAAGTAGGTTCAGATATACGCGCATGTACCAATGCGATAAATTGCATCCCAAAAAGAATTTTTATGTTAAACATTAAGTATAAAAATTGTTGTACTCGAAGATAAAGAGTCCGTGACGCTGTATGCAAGGGTATATGACAAAGCTAAGTTTGATGTTGAGAAAAAAAGGAAATGGCGAAAGAGAAAAGGTGCGATTGTTGGCGTAGCAAGAATATTTGAAGTTGCAAAGATTTACAATACAAAGATAATATAAAAACTGGTTTAACAAAAATGGCTTTTGGGAGTTTTTTCTGCAAGGAGAAAACTAAAGACCATAAATCCATTGCTGTCACAAAAAAAAAATTAATAAATAAAACGTACGAACAGAATGTGGCGTATTATATTATGGGTATCCAATGATTGAGTGCTTGTGAATTTTAGGAGCACAATAAGTCTTGCATTTGTACGCGTAGAACTATCCCATATGTATTGAAATAAAAAAAAAGAAAAGTTTCAGAAAGACTGTTTTAGTTAATACACAAGATGTTGTTGCCTTCACTTTACTGCAGTAGAGATCCAGTCTTTACTCTGTTATATATTGGTATACAATAAATATGTATATATATATATGCATCGTAGAGATAATAATACAAGCTGACTTGCGCGCTGCTGGGTAGGTACAGACGTCGAATAATGGCACGGCCATTTTTGCGGCTGCATCATGTACACCTCTTTTGTTGTTGTGAATGTGTAATGCATTTGTTGTGATTTCTTTTTTTCCTAACGCTGACTACCCACGTGCTCCAGATAAAGGTAGTACGTGCCGGCTGCATATGCAAGGGTATTAAACAATCCAAAGACCTGTAGAAAACAAAATACATGCAATTTCATCAATGTTTGTCGACTTTCTTCTAATACAACTATTTTTTTTTTTCTTTTCACAATAAAAACTCGTATCTAAAAAATCTCCAACAAATTTTTGCTGGTTGTAAAAATATTCCGATTTTTTGCTCATAACGTAACAAATTGACGTCTACAATCAAATAAAAATAGTTGTACGTTTTTATGTTGCGTTAGGAAAAATATATCAAACACAAAAAGCTTGGGTATTTAAAACCAATTGTTTGCGTCGATCGATATAAACCTATAATTGTATTTTTGATTAATTTGACGCTTTGCAATGATATTTGTTCTTAAAATGGCATAAATTAAGTATAATGCATGTAATACTAACCCCCGCAGCAACGAACACAGCACCTCTGACTACTGCCAGCTCGCATACGAATGCCGTGAAGTAGAGAATGGTGAAGATTCCCGTGTTGAAGAGTTCCTATACGGGCAAAGAAAAACAAAAACAAAACAAACGAATAAATAAAAATCTAAACTTTTCGACGTTGCCGATACGATGATCTTTGTATGTGTGCACGTTTACTCACCGAGAGCAGCCAATTGATGGGTATCTTGAGCGATTCGCGGACGGAGAGAAGATAGATGACCGTCCACAAGCAGGTCACGATGAAGGCGACCACAACGACGAAGGTGAACCATCCACCGGCAGCGGAAGGTGATGACGAGCCCAATATCAAGCAGATGATGCCGAGAATCTGGAAGATTAATAGTCAATGATATGCCACGTTTGCCGAGATAGTTTTGCTACACGTAATTATCAGTTATATTATATATTATTACAACCGAGAGTGTTTGCTCGAGATGCAATGTACACACGCATCGCGAATTTGGAGTATTAATTTACTCATTTACCCAATAACATCAATCGCAACAATCTACCTTCAATCCTGATATAAACGAGGATTTTCCATTGTTTGATTTTTTGATTCAATAATCCTTTCGTCCACACATGTAATATATCATCAAAAGCCTTGTGTCACGTGTTGTGAAAAACGTTTTTAGGGAAGGGAGGGTGAAAGAAATACAATAATCATTCCTACTTTGGTGGTTGTTTATTATTTTAATTTGTCATTAACGTTTTATCATACGCGGCTGTAAAAAATCATCCACGAGGTCTCTTGTTTTCAGCAGCCATCCCCGAACGCCTCGTTCCACTCGAAGCTCGCCTCCACTCTCCTGCAAAGCTCCTCGCTGATCTTCCGGTACTCCAGCTCCAGCTCCTCCCTCGGCCTCTCTGCCACGGCCTCCCCGTCCGAGTCTTCCTCCTCGTCATCGTCCTCAGCCCCATCCGCCTCGTTCCCTCGGAGCACCTCCTTCGCGATCCTCTCGTCCAAGATCTCGTCGGCCCGAGCGAGCTCTCCCCTGATCTTCAGCCACCTCCGCGCCCTCTGCTTCTCGAGCGAGACCAGCGGCTCCCGCTTCCTCTCGAGCTCGGCGGGCTCCAAGCCCCTCTTCCGCAGTACCACCCCCTCGGCTCGCCTCAGCTCCTCCCGCCGCCAGAGCTCCGTCCTCGAGACGCGCCGACGCGCCCGTCTGCGCTCCGCCTCCTCGCGCGCCAACCTCTCTTGCTCCTATAACAAGAGATATGATGTACATGGCCACTGTACGATCGAACAAGAGATAACGGTATACCTTGACAAACTTGTCGCGCGCCTCCCGGTGCCTCCTGGCCAGCTCGGCTCGTTCCCGCTCTGCCCTGCGCCTCAGGGCTGTCGGGTGCCGTCCCAGGTATTCGTCCTGCCACCGGTGAAACTCGAGCTTGCGCCTTGTCTCACGCCACGCAAACTCCTCGAGCCACTCGATTCGCTCGGCCGCCGCGCCCCCGTCCTCGCCCTCGTCGGCAAAGATCCGCAAACTCGAGGGCCCGTCCAGCACCGCGAATGACCACTTATTCTCCTCGTCTCTCCCCGAGCCACCAGGACTCGGGAAGAATATGTACGGCGTCACCTGCATTGCACAATTTTATAATTTATACATTATGCATTTAACATGGGTGTATATGTATAATTATATGTCAAACAAGAGAGCCGCTCACGTTGTTGGAGATTATCCGTAGGAAGAGGGGTGCGCCGGAGTTGCGCTTCAAGTCCCAGACCTCGAAGGATCCGTCGAGCCTGGCGAGGCCGATGGTCCCCGGTTTGCCGGTACTCCAGCAGCCCTCCCCGTACCCGAGCCTCGCGTCCGACCTCCTACGGTAGAACGGCCCCTCGGGCATGTCCTCCTTCCACAGGGCGAACACCCGGCCCCCGACGCTCAGAAACACGTCCTCCAGGTGGTCGCACCTGGCCAGCGTCCTCACGCGACCGTCGTGAGCGGTGCACCTAACCACCGGCACGGCCAGACACGGCTCCGACTCGCCATCAGCCTCCTCCCAAGCGCACCGGGCGACCTCGCCACCAGCGGTGCCCACGAACACCGTCCTCCTCGCGGACGAGTCCCACGGGAGATGGAAGCTCGTGACCGGGTCGTTTAGTTCGCCGATCGTTAATCGGTGGACGGGTGAGAGAGCCAAGCGCAGAGGACTGAGGGCCCGTGGGGGACTGGCCAGGGATCGCGGTAGGCTCCAAAGGTACAGGCCACCCTCGCCGGAGGACGTGGCGAAGCAAGGTCTCGGCGACGAGGGGCCCAGTGGCAGCCACCGGATCCCCGTGACTCCGGACGCGTGGGACTTGCCGTCCGAGGACACGGCTATCGTCGCCTCCCTCCTCCTCGGGGGCTGGCCGGCACCGCCGCCACCGCTACTCTCCAGCCAGTCCATCGGTATCTCCCAGACGACGATGCTTCCGTCGAGGCAGCCACCGACGAGGATGCTGGAGTAGCTCCCAATTGGGCAGAACGACAACGCCGAGACTCGCTGATCGCACTTTAGGAGGAACCTTGGCCGCAGGGGATCCGACAAGATCCACAGGGCCACCAAGCCATCGTCCAACGTGTCGTTGGTGGGGTCCAAGTAGGCGCAAGCGAAGAAATTGGTTATCTCGGGGTGCCAGGAGGCAGCTAGCAAGTACCTCGTCTTGCCGATCGTGTCCAAGTCCAGCAGGCTCGTCGACTCGGGATAGCTCGTTTCGCCGATTGCCGGTCTTCCCGCTGGTGGGGCGTCGCCCCTCAGGTTGGCAGCGTCGTTCACGTGGAGGTTGATCGAGGCGTTGAAGGAGACGGCGTTGTCGATCTCCGTGGCCCAACCGGTCGCGAATCCCGCGAGCTTGGACCACTCGAGCCTCCTCCTCTCCGCGAGTCGCAGCGCCTCCTCGCTGACGAGCTCCTTCTTCGGCCCATCTGGACTCGAGTTGTCATCACCATCCCCCTCTTCCCTCGGGGCTTCCTCATCCTGTTGGTCAAAATTACCTCCAAACCCATCGTCTCCTGTGTGCGTACATGATTTCTCCAAAGTTACCCTTTACCTCCGCCTCGTCCCCCGTTACTTCCTCCTCCTGCTGTTGGTGGGCCCACAGGTCGGCAAACTCCCGGGGCACCTCGAGCTCGTACTGAGTCCACTGGTTGGTGGGCCGTGCGGGGTGGGTCTGGGCCTCGGAGTGCCGGCTGCCCAGGTGGGTTCGGGTAGCCCCGGCGAGTCGGGCGAGGTCGACCCTCGGGTGGTTGTCCGCCTCGTCGGGGACGAGCTCGGTGCAGGTGTCGCGGGAGTCGGCGAGGTCGCGGGGCCGGAGGAGCTCGGCCACGGGCACGAGGAGGTCGAGCTCGCGCGCCGGGCCCACGGGACGCGGGGACGCTATCTCGACGGTCGATCCTCCCTCGCGCCACGGCCCGGCGAGCCTCTCCACCTGGCGGCGCGCCCCTTCTCGGAGCCGAAGCGTTATCCACCGGTTGCGGCCGGCTACGGCCCGGCAGGCCTCTTTGCTCGTGCAGATCGCGAAATCTGTTGGATGCGATCGCCGGTCATCGGGGCCACGAGTGCCCATTTTCAAGTATAGGGAGTAACAAAGAAGAGTTCACACCTGCTCCATCGGGGTGGCCGGTGATCTTGTCTTCGGCGTACCCGACCAGTAGCCAATCCGCCGTGGAGGCAGCGATTCGTCCGGATAGCCCGTGGAGGGTCGTGTCCTCGCGTCGCGAAACTTCCAGCAGAGCTTGCCGGGGCACGTAGGCGTAGGGGCACTCGAGGTACACGTCCTCGTTGACGACACAGCCGAGAAGCGCTTGGGCCTCGCGGGACAATTTCACCCGTTCGACGCCTTCGGGTGTGGCGGTTGTCCAGCGGTGCGGCGATCGGTTGAGGGAGCATTTCTCGGTGTCCGTCTCGTCGGTGGTTTTTTCACGCGAGCGGCTCAGCCAGGAGTCGAGCGGTGCCGCTTCCATGGCTCCGGCGATGGCCCTCGACTGTGTACACACGACTGTACGTACAGCATCGATCCAACTTTACGCCACGGGTATAATACACGTGGGCAAGGGAACTATGGGCAATCAATGCAACTCTATGTGGCTCGTTTTCACGAGTTGTCGACTGGCTTTCTTTGCACATGTAGGCATATAGTAAAACAATAACATCTAATAATAATAATAATAATGATAATAACTTCTAATTACTATGATACATATGATTAACAAAAATGCACAATTGACGTTGCATCCTCATTCGAAGCCAAATTGTATTGTATAACGATATACATATAAATACGCACAATGAATTCTCCCATACAAAATTCGTCGCTAAAACAATTCTTTTTCTTCTTCTTCTTCTTCTTTTTTTTGTAGCTATTTTGGGGAACTGTACGAGCTCGCTATTGCCATTGCCGGCGTCGTTGGCATAGCGAACAACCGTCTCGGATAATTTTTTTCACTGTATACTTGACCGTCGCTTCGACTACAATTTGCGCTTTTCGCTTTTGCGTGAGTCAATCGGAACGTATCATCAATGACCCATCAACTCGCGTGTATAGAATACCTTTTTGGGACCGATGGATTAAAAAATAAACGGAGCCGTCGTTGATTTTTTGGATCGAAGATAAAAAAACCGGGGATTCCCCGGATGACATATAAGACAGCAGCGCTCGGGGAGTTGATGAACCCATGACTCCGCGTAACAAACACATGGATCTAATTATAGTCGTAGCGGGGGAGCGAGCTTTTCAAGAGATCGGAGACTTTGCAGTGGACCACGTCTACGAAGCCATCCAATATTACAATGTACATAACGTACGTGGCAAAAAAAATGCAGTCCACGTGTCTCTCGTATCCACCTTCTACTTAATCTATTGGGTATATGTTACACTTATCAATCGAAATGTTTCAAAATACCCCATAAAGAGACAATATGGAGCTTAACATGGTGTCATTGTGTTACAATCGTTGCTGTTGAATGAAAGTGACTGCTTATCGTCAAACATCGACGACGCGAGAGCCTACTTGGAAGCACTTCTTATCAGGAGCGTAAATCATGTACCGTTGCGTGGATACGATCTGTAGGCGCAGCTGATGCATTGCTTAAGTACATATTGTGGTATACACTCAAGTTTAAACGAGGCGTCGAGAATATGAAGAAGAAGCTGTGCAAGTACTTGTACATGCACACATAGAAGCCAAAGTATGATTGGTCTGTTGGTACACACCGCGAACTGGACGGCATTATATTGTATACATATAATTCCTATATATGTATATGCCTACCCAGCCGCTGGCTCTAAAAATAGATGCTGGCTCAGGTCGTATACTCCATCACGGCTACATTGCAAGAGGAACAGTGCAGTAGTACCTAGCGTAGGTACGGAACGTGGGAGGGAGAAAGTTTTTTGAAAATTTTCACTTTTGCGTAATTAATAACTACACAATTCGTCGTGCATGCATCATCCAGGATCGAGTAACGAGGTACAAGGGCCATTTTTTTTTTTTTTTTTTTTTTTTAGGGACAAAAGTGTGCATGTACGTTTTTGAGGAGAGCGACGTGAGAAACGTTTGTTCGCACGTGTAAACGTAAAGCAGAGATGATTAGAGTAGTCTATATACTCATCTCTGCATAAAGCGCGTAATCAACAATGTTTATTTATTACATAGTATGAACAAGTAGTTAAGTAGTTCGAAGCCTTCGATATGATAGTTTTGAGTAACGAACGACTGCAGTTTCAACAATGTCACAAAGGAGTTTAACAAAATTAATGTAAAAAAAAATTTTTTTTTTTTTTTTTCGAACCCCCAAAGGGAGGAACGCATACAGCGCATCGCTGTTTCTTCAGCGGAGCGACTTTCTTCTTACGTTCCTTTCCGCTTCTCTTGCGACACAATAGTTTACAAGTCTTCCTTCGTGATGAATGTAACATATTGTATTTATCCACAGGTCTTTCTTTTATACAACATAAATGTAGTCCCGAAGTTCGCCAACTCTTGATGAATTTAGCCATTTTTGGCCATTATTTCTTTTCATTTCGAGCCATAACTGTTTAATCGAGTTGCCCCCGTCCCCTTTGTCTGGAGAGTAAAAAGCACTACAGCGTCATTCACCGGAGCTAGATGTGTGCTGAAAATTTCACGGCGACTCTTTATCAATGCCAAAAGAGTATAAGTATACGCGAGGTGTATCGCACATGGGAGTTATAGACCTCAAACAACGGAACTTGGTGTATGTCACGGCTGCCTCGGGCTATAAACTTCCTTAATAATTTATACGCGCCGTACACACATACACGTATATACAGGTATATCATACACCCGCTTATGAGCGCATTATCGTGTATTTTACCATTGAGCTTTCATTTCGATGTTTCCCGATAGCTTATCTTGCGTGTATATATGTATACCCCACACTTGTTCTGATATTGACGTATTCTCGAAGTAACAATTTTTCGATAGGTACAACGCCAGAAATCATGGGTTCTTCGGCATTGGATTAGGGGGAATCGAGTGCAGAGAACTGAGAAATATATTTACATCTTTTCTTTTTTTGTTATTACGCTTTTGATGGTTGAAAAAAAAAAGCTATTTTCGTTGCTTTTGTAATCGGTTCTTCTTTTTCTTTTTTTTTATTATTAGGTACTTATCCACTCGAGACAATAAAAGATAAAGGATGAAAAAAAACAAAAGGATGAAAAAATACCTCTTCACCAAAGTTGAAATTCTTTCATCTGCACAAACTTACCTTAAAAAAAATAGCACATGTATGTATATTATTTATGCACATTCAAATGGCAGTGTGGCTATACGTTGCTATGCATAATGTAATCACGAAACAATGCGGCGATATCTCTTCGATGTACAAGTATTTTGACACACAGTTTTCTTCATTGTTTAAATCATGCCCATTATATTTTTTCTTTCGAAGCAATTAAAACTGAAAATTCATGTCGAATGATTTAGGTATGCAGCTAATTGGGGTTTTATAATTTTGATCAGTAATTAAAATATATATACACTAGAACGGTTATGCGCGGGCTTTCGACTATAGTACCGGAGTACATTATAACGTACATTGGTATGAATATGGTTAATAGTATGCTGTAAGAGAAATTTCACTTCGAAAAATTTTCTTATGTGTATATATATATATATATATATATATATACGTCAAACGACCGCACTTTTCATTAAGATGCCAACTAGCAATTGGCTCGATCACTATAATGACACATTTCAACTTTCTGGTTTTCACGAAATTAGTATCGATCGCGTTCAACCCCGCACCTGTATACTTGTGTACATACCAGCGGATCTTTTATTTATTTTTATTTTTTCTACCTCCAATCGTACAAAACAATAATTTACGATATCTCGGTCACCAAAATACGAGCCAATATGTGAATCATACGCAACAAGCAATGACGAGTGTGAGGACGATAAAAAGACGCACGTACCCATATATATGTACATTGCGTTTGTATCACACGCAATGTGTATACTTGCAAGCTCGACGCTCGACATTATATTTATATAAATTCCGGCCACTGTCCGTCATTTCATTAGCATCGGCTGGCAAGCGGTACGTTTTTGCAAAAAAATAATCAAGTATTTACATGTATAAAAGCTAGGGGGGGGGAAAGGTTGTGTCCTTACGCGCCAAAGGAACGCTTTTCTCCTTTCATTAGGTAAGTAGGTATACACGTAGCCAATGTAATTATACACACGCGTGCTGTTGCAGTGACAACTTACTCACAATATTTAGGGGAAGAGATTTTACGTTCGGAGAGGACAAAAAAAGGTTTCGTAACGAGTGCTCGTAAGTCCTTTTTCACTTATTGTGGGAGAGGTGCGTGTCGCACACAGATCTGTAGAAAAGAAAAAAAAAAAAAAAAACTTTTGAGCAGCATTTAGCCTAAAGAGCAAAAGAGGACGTCATCATCCTGATCGGGCACCCGAGCATGTATTATATGATACAGCAGTGCCGATTACGTAAGGCGATGTAGGTATATATATTATGCATTACCACCACGAGCGTGGGTACAATATAAATACATAAATGGATAAATGACGCGCAAAAACACACATAGATACGCAATACATATGCACAATATAATATATACAATGAAGCGTGTGACCTTCGAAGCGGAGCAATGTTCGTAAATGGCAAGGCGTGCGTTTTGTTTGTTCCTGGTTACATGCTCGCACCTACGCTCGAGGGACTAAGTAAGGATGAACATTTTTTTTGCTAAAACTCCGTATAATGTGCCGCTTTGGCCATTTAGGTTGTTGGGCCTCTCGTGCAAGATGACACAGAGGACAACTATACTTTGTTAACGTCCATTTTTTTTTTTTTTCATCTCTTTGTGGTTGTATAAGATAATAAACTTGGAGTATGTTAATTTAATGCTTCAAGAGCGCAAGTGCGAACACGTTGTGAGTGTATATGAGGGATAAATATTGAATGTACATAAATATGTAGGTAGTGGGGCAAAAAAAATTGAAAAACCACTTGTAATGTTATGCGTACTGCGTCATGTTTATTGTTAAAATTCATCGGAGAAAGTGATCAATATATGTTTCTTTTACTAAATGGACATCTTCGACTGTGTGTTAATTGGAAAAGAAAATTGGATGGATGTACTTACTCAACAAGTTAAAATATAAGCTTACGGAGAAAAATCGTTATAATATGTCAATACTCGGTTGGACACGTGTAAGTGGGTCGAAAAACAACGAAAAATCATGAATCATTTCGAAAACCAAAGTGACGAATGCCGATAAGTCCCTATTGTTATCTGTACAAAGAGTGCCCCTTAAACACACGAGTAGTCGCTAGATTTATCAGTTGAAATTTCATCACTATAATCTTATGCATGCGGGTACGCGAATTGTCTTGGCCAGCCAAACATCATCAACTTACCGGCATTCTACACCGCGTTTTTCATTTAAATTTAGTAATTTCAAGCGTTGCGGCGTAAGTAAGTACA